AACTTGCATCTGGCCTGCTTTCAAATAACAGGAAAATCTCCCGTAATCCAGTGAATGTATTTTCCAGAGCACCTGAAGAGAGTTTTTATATTTAATACTTCATGTGTTGAAATTTGAACTAGCAATAGAAAGCAACTTCATATAATGTTGGTGCAAATGTTTGTTTTGGTGTACCGGAAATCATTTAAAAGTGCCTTTTTAAGAAGATGATTTCCATACTTACAATGTAAATTCTTAAATATTACTTGAGAAAATAAAACAGAAAATACACAATATAAGTATTGTTAGTTCACAGTTCATTTAAAAACTATTCATTAAAAAGTGCTTCATAAACTGAATGCTGGGACTGATTAATGGGAACATGAAATACAGTTTTGTACTTTATCAAATGTAAGCAGAAAAGTTTTAAGAGGTCTGACAATATGATTAGAATGGCAGATAAAATATAAATGAAAATCGGATTGCTGTACACTGAAGCCAACTTGTAAATTGTGTTGTATAGCAAAACAGTACAGTATGTCATCATTCAGAAAACGTGCTAAAATAAGCTAAGGAGCTCTGTTAATATTCACACAGCTGCAGCTCAAATGTTCATATCCAGCAATGAGCTGGTGAGCATGAGTTCAAAATTTCCAAAAAAGGTAGAAAATGTTGCACATACTAAGGAGCAGATAGTCATGTGGACCTGTAACATACCCAAAGGTGCTGCATCTGTACATTGTCTAAAATCCTACACAATTTGGCAACATATTATACATGTTATACGGTAGACACAGTGATTCTCAACCAAGTCCTCAGGAACCCCCAGACACTCCACATTTTTGCTTCCTTCCAGCCCCAAACACCTGTAACAGCATGCTGGGAGCTGGAAGAGAGCAAAAATGTGGACCAAAGGACTTGGTCGGGAAACACTGCAACAGACATAACAGAAACAGACCTGCTAACATTTTGAAATGGCACGAACAAAACATTTTAATTTAAATACAGCTGTCCCTAATTTTATACTATATCCACCAAATTAAGCTTTTGACCTGATTTACACAACAGACGTGCCCTCACTGAAAGCTATTGCATCATGGGACTTAAAGATTATTTATTAAAAATTATTTAATTAAACATAATTATAGTTAATTGGCCTTTAATTACCAACCATTGTGTCACCGTGAGCCTGGAGCTAATCCGAAGAAGCACAGGACATGAGGAAGGGCAACACCCTAAACAGTGTGATAGTATTTATTTACTATGGTAAATCAAAATAAACCGTACAATTAATTTTAAGTGATAAAGACACACATTTATTACAGATACTTACTTAATTATCATTTCAAATCCAGTTTAACTGCCAAGAAGAAATTCTGTTATCTGATTAGGGCAGCAGGGTGAATAATGGTGAAAAGACTCACTGCATATGACTGCACAGGAGCCCAGCTAAAATGTCCTTAACCTGTGTGTCTCCATAGAGATCCAGCCATATAAATGGGTTCAGTTCACTCTGAATTAAAGCTAAATAACTAAATATAAACACATTAATCCAGTTTCCAATCATCACGTGACTCTGCATGAATTGTGAAATCAGTTCAGCGGAACATGACCTTTTCACCATTAGTACTCCATGCAACTGCTTAGCCGAGACTCCAGAACATATTGGACATGTTTTCCTGCATGCCCATACACCAAGATATCCCCCGCGATAACCACATGTGACAGCAGTTGATCTTAATCAGCCTTATCACATTCTTTGCCCAGACCAGGTGTTGATTTTTGAGCTTTTTGGAGTAAGCAGCTTAGAATTTAGTGGTCATTTTTGACACACCATAGCACACAACAAAATGTGTCCTCTGCATTTAACCCATATGGGACATTGAGACACAGCAGGGGGCAGCTAATTCAGCGCCCGGGGAGTAGTACTTTACTCTGGGTATGTCAGTGGTGGTCGGGGATTCAAACCAACAATCTTTCAATTACAAGCACACTTTCCTAACCATTAAGCCACCACTGCCCTCAAGCCTATCACACTGCTATTGGTCAGTGTCCTTTCTGGGAAGAGTCTTTCCGCATCATTGACATACTATGTCCCTGCCAGAGTGGAATCTTTTCAGAAGGTGGGGTGGTAAGGAAATGGTAGACTGTTCCTGCAATTCCTGCACATGCAGATACATGTTAGCTAATGTTTCATGGGAGTAGTAATTTCACTACTCATGAGGCCCTAACCTGTAATACGATCCTCTGTGACTGCAGGACATTCCTTTGATTATGCAGGTGAGTTACCAAAAGCAAAAGTTTGTTAAACATGGCCAGTCTATCTAGTGTGTCCAAAAGTGTGTCGTGAAACAGCAATGACAAATTAATCATCATCAGGTTTATCTGGCCAAGTATGTGCACACGTACAGGGAATTTGTCTCCGTTTTTCAGTGCTCACATACAGTACATACAGTAGGTACAAACACAGTTAAGAAATGACAATATAACACATATAATTCTGTTGATATATCAAAGTCAATTCAATTCAAAGGCACTTCAAACAGAAACATATATAAAGCCAAACCACTAATGTACAGTAACTATAATCTCAGATTGTAATGCCATACTTCGAGCAGTTTGATTCGTTCTATGAATAATTCGGGTTTTTTTTTAGTTCCCTTTCATTCAAAATAATACCGGTTGTTGGTATGGTGTAAGCATCCCCATTCTTTTATGGAACTCCCACAATACTAATATAAATGTAAATAAAAATGTATTTTCAAAAGTCACTAAAAGTGAGTTTCATGTATTTTTCTATGGAAAATATGCACATGTACCCCATTGCAAGGTGTTGCGCCCAAATTATTCAATATTTATAGGCCACTGACGTGATCTAAGTTTCTGGCCAAAACGTCGAAATAGCCACACTATCTTCAGACATCTTGCCTCTACATATATGCCTAGAAAGTCGGGCACACACATTACCAGCGAACAGACATACGTGCGCGGACACGATTAGATGTCTTGGTATGCATACCTGCAGCAACAGACAGACAGAGATAGACAGGTATTTTAGTGATTCCATGGAAAAATTAGGCATCCAGTATCTATATACATACAAAAGATCAGACCTCTATGCATGTGTGATTGGATAATGGCTCTATTTTCTGTCTCGTTTTTCTCCTTAGAGCGATATTTGTTTTGTATTAGGTAGATGAAACAGACTCTAGTTTTTATGAACATTGCAAAATGAGGTGATTAAAATACTGCAAGGTTACTACCATGCAGGTAGTCATATTAACCTATCATCACATTTGTATTTCATCATAATGTTTACTAAAATTCTAACCGCCACACAATCGAAATCGTTTATAAATGTCTTCTCAAAAACACTGATACAGCGTAACTCAGAAAATTAAAACCTATCTGGATCGCCACACCCTATTTCCCCTTGCAAAGCTAAAACGGCGTGAAAGCATTATAGGTGGAAGCATTGTGTTACAAGGACATCTGCCGTTCAAGAATGACACTGCAAATTACGCCATTAACGTATTTTAAAAGAAATGCTGTCTCCAACTCAGTATCTTAAAAAATAAATACTCTTTTGTTATTATATGCAGAACTGCATGTCCATGCGACATAATATGATTATTAAAAGACTATTTCATTTGTTTTTGAACTATATTGCAATTGTTTGCTATTGCTTTTTGAAATAAAATTCTACGTTTTATTAATCGAATTCATAATCGAGATGAGGGAGGATCGGCGGCGCAGCGGGTGGCACTGTCGCTGCAAACCTCCAACCATAACCTGTGGGATCTCCTAAAGTGTGAATTCCCCACCCAGTGTTTGTGAAACTTTTAAATGCAACCGCAGTGGCGCATGTAAGCCCAAGCATGTAAAACCCCCGATGTCCTCATCCCCGTCAGGTAATCTAACCATGGCTCTGTACTGGTTAAACAGTTGGAGGATGGATAAGAGAAACGAAGGGTGCTGCCACCATCTGGCAAGAATATATATTGCCGTAATGAATTGTGAATTCTTCTAGGTTTCTGTTTTATTGACGGAAAACACTGAGCGACAACATACAACATACCCACCTGAAGCTATCTGAAATCTGTATTTATACATTAAATGTTAATCACCTTTTCATAAAAGTGTTAAATTGAGAACAGGTAATAATGAATTGTACAATCGTACAAAACAGATTGACAAAGTAAATGAAACCTTGTAAACTGGATTTGACAGATTAAGACCTATGCAGAAAGCGCAATCTGCACTGTAGGTTGTGTTCATTTTTTTCTCACCGCTTTAGAAAATCCAGTGAAATCGGCCGCTTATGTGAAAACGCGGGCTCAAGATTCGCTGACACTGGTTTCCTTTTCGAGAGATCAGACGATGCAGTCACACTGGGGTTTCGCCATAAACCTTCCCAGCTGAACTATGCGACGATGGACTTAGATGCCGTTATACAGTCGGTACGTATTATGTGTGAAAACAAAGAGCTGCATGGAGCGCACCCCCCAATCCCCCCCAGGTTGAATAGGCTAAGCGCTGTACTCGAGCCCGCCCCCTTGTTGCTAGTAGCGCAGAATCAGCCGTTAGCGACGCGCATCGCCACACGGAGGAGACGCTCAGATCGCCGGTCAGTTTCGCTGTTGTTTAGTCCGTCTTCGTGCAACCTACCAGTTTTTTGTATCCTTAAATTTAATAACTGCATGAGCACTCCCCAACGTAAAATTTTATTATAAGCCGTCGTTCAAACGGAAACGGAACACCGGGCAGAGGTAGGTTTTGTTGTGCCGTTAGCTACGTGGCTAACTGGCTAGTTGGACTTGTGAGTTTAATTCATAATAAGAATTGCTCATGTTTTCCATTAGTCGGCGTTCGGACGTGGTCGTATCGACGACTGTTTGGGTTGTTGGGTTTCGAATGTCCTTTGGATAGATATCTAGTTTTAAAAAAATGTAAGAAACGCCTGGCTGACAGCTCATTAATATAACTAACTAGCTACCTAAGTGTGACCTGAGAAACGTGGGTCGTGCGCGGCCGTCATTGTTGGGAAATGTTAGATGGGTGCAGGTCCAGTTTGAAGCGTACAGTGCCGACGACGTAACTTGGGCTTAGCACAGTTGGCTAGTCCGCCGTCGTTTTTTTTCTTTTGGCTTGGTAGACTAATAAGATTAACTTAACCATCTACAGCGGCTGAGTTGTTTTATCATATGCCGTTTGGTTAGTTAGTCAGCATAACGATACTGCAGCGCGGCCACCGCTAAAGCTATGATGCTATTGGACTCTACAACTGGCATCCAGACTGAGGCGTTAAATGGTTTGGGTGAACTATAGCTACATAACCGTATTAGTTACCCTTCTACCTTTTAATATGCTATTGGTGCTGCCCTCGACTGGTTCGCGTGACTTTAGCTTGATAGCAGATGGGTTTTGTTTTTAATGTAATGTCAGTTTTCCTTGGCTGGAGTTTATCGCAGTTCCCATTACTACCTGGTGAATCCTTAAGGATCAATAAACACCGTCAACATTTTCCATGAAAGGTAGCATATACTGTAAGTTTATTAGAGGAAAGAATACGATGGTATTTTGAAAGACAGGTGTAAAAACCGTCGAGATGTGCTTTGTTCCTGTGTGTGGTCCATCTTAAAGGTAACGTCAATTCAGTTTTGAAGTGTGTGTGTGACATGTCTGGCAGACAATTCTCTGCCCCTCTGATTTGCTTTGCAAAGTGTAGTGCCGAAGCTGGCATGTATGAAGTCTCTCCCATTGAGGAGTGACGTCAGTACCTTATGTGTGCTTTAAATAAGGTTTTCTTACTCTGCATAGTTAACAGCTTTAAATATATATTTTTTTCTGATGTGGGGTTTTGCCGAGGTGGCATTTGGGACCGTCTAAAGTAAGGCAAACACAAGAAATAAGAAACATTAAAGTTTACATCCACGTTTTGACTCTAGGTACAGTCCATGTCCTACCATTCTTTCATGTCACATCACGGGAGGCAAAGTCATTCGTCAGCAGCTACCTCCCAAAAAACTGTAACTCCACTTATGGTTGGCAGTGCTGCCCTGAGATGCAGTCTTTCAGTTGTGTCTTTACTTGTCAAGTTGCATGTTACCTGTACTTTGTTCAACAGAAGTTATTTTGAAGCAGTTTTCTGAAGCTACATCTTTGGCGTCTCCTGAAAACCTCTGGAGGAGAGCAGATGCTCATATCTGCTCACAATTCATAATTATTTCCTAAAATTCCTACATCAGTGCTCACCCATTGGCATCACATCTGCCAACACGGTGCAACTGGAGCCTTGTTGTGGTTGGTTTGTTTACTTAAACAACCACTATACCCTTTTATTATAATAAAGGCTGGAATTAACTAGATTCTAATTAGGATCAGGTCTGCATTGTTGCAAAGATGGATAAATTATAAGTAAATGAAAATAGCAAATGGAAAAAACTGATCTGGCTCATATTGAATCTGTCATTTTAGTGCAACTCTTAATCTACCTGTAGACGTGATTAGGTTAGCTTGGTCCAATTTGACTTCAGTCTTTTCCTGTCTCTCTTTTCAGGGTGTGAAGATGGTGGTACCTGAGAATGGAACTGCGGTCCAACAGGCAGATAATGGTGAATCAAGCAGTTTGGGGGAGACCCCGCAGGCTGGATTTGGCACAGAGCAGGACACGGATGGGAAGGAGCTTGAGGAGGTGCGCAAGCTTCAGGAACTGGTGCGAAGACTGGAGGTTCAAAATCAGACACTGCGCAACAGAGGGGGCAGGGCTAACAGCAACTTGAGAGCAGCTAGCAACATTAATGCCAGGACTCCCACTGAGGAGGTGACTACCTCCCCACTCGTTTTGGAAGACCATGTCAAACTTGGCAGCAGGGGCTTGGAGCCATCACCTCGGCCGGACAGCAACAGTAGTAGCAACGACAGCAGTAGAGATGTGTCCCCCCTCCCAGATACCTGTAGGTTAGAGGATGAGGAGGAAGGGGCACATGAGGGGCACCTTTTGGGCGGTGGGTATATGGCCATACCCTGCAGTAGAACGTCAGGGGAAACATTGTGTCGGACTGTGGACACTGTAGGCCATGAGACTCCTGGTGGGGCAGACACAGGAGCAAATCTGTCTGCGCTAGATGAGGTGGAAGTGCTCAACCTGGAGGAATGTGATGAGATGGAAGAAGAAGACAGCTGGTAGGTGCCTGTTGGGAATATTATTGCTCTTTGCCACGGTTGGTTTCGCTGGGCTCCTCCCTTGACACTGATGCTAGATCATGTTCTACATTCTGCCAAAAGTCAATATTTATTTGCTTGTGCTGGCAGCCTTGTCTAATATATGCATATTGTCAGATGGCCTAGCAGTATGTATGTACACTACAGTTTCAAAACAGGAGTTATGGCCTTTATCCAAAGGATCTTTACATCCCCATATTTCAGGTAAGTATGTAATTATCAGTTTTACTCCTTATTTTCTCAAGAATTATATCACTTTAGTGAAACAGCCAGTAATTATATGAAAGCTCTTTGGGTAGCAGGATTTGGGTTTAAATCACACCTCCACTCTGTGTGTGTGGATTTTGTATGTTCTCCATGTGTTCTACCCACTTTCCCTCCAGGCAGTCCAGTTTTAGAATAGAATCTAAATACATGTACCCATAGTAAGTTTTTCTCAATATCCCTATCCTCAGTCTCATTTTTTGAGTTCTGGTCGTTAATTGAGGCAGTCACACTGGCTGCAAAAGATTTTTGCTTCGTAAATGTCCGTTCACCAACCCCCCCAGATAACTGCTTGGGAGGGGTGCCATTTAATATGCATTCACATAGTTTACATTTTCCTGTTGAGGAATAACTACATTATTGTTCATCGTTTTGCTGCCATGCAACACCTGGTTGGTAAAATCGTGGAAACATCTCTTGCTTATGGGAGGCCACATGGTGGAGTCTGGGAGGTTCAAGTACCAAGACAGCAGTGAGCAGATGAACTGTCTGAGTTGGACTGTGAAAATAGCTGGGCCTTGAAGGCTCCATTGCTGCTTCCAGGCATCTTTGTCTTCCTGTACTCAAGACATTATAAAGCCCAAGTGCTCTAAATAAAACATCCTCTCCCTCATGAGAATCTTAGTGAGCTTGTATCACTACTCTCCTTCTCTCTGAGGTTTTTTGAACTGCAGTACTTTCAAAGTCCTCAGTCTTTTTCAGTGTATCAAGTGTATGAAATGGCAATTAAGATCTTTGTATTTTGATGTAATTTTCAAGTGGCATAATTAGCTCCTTTGTATTGCAGTAGTTCTAGGAGTTGTTGATTGATCCAGCAGAGTTGGCACACATGCACTAAGAAATCCTACACTTTTTCTGGTAACATGTTAGAATAATAGTTTAATGGGTTGTTGAACTCGTGTGCAGTTTCCTTTCTTGTCAGTCATGTTTGCACTGCATGGTCAAACCATTTGCTTATTTGATGTAATTAGTCAGATATGTATGAGAGAGAGAGAGAGTCTTTGGCTCCTTGCGGTGAAACGCTCCAGCAATCTTACTAAAAATCAATGTAAACTCCCCCAATCTGCACTGGAGTGGTGTGGTCTTTGAGGATTGCAAAACTTGCAATGTCTCTATCCTCGTATGCGTGGGAGGATGGGGAAGGAAATTTGATTCTGTGGCTTTGTGGTTATTAGGTTGTATGTAGGGCTGAGCGATATAAACAATATATCGACAGATCTGAATAATTTAAACAACGAGAAACTTTGATAAACAGTCCATAAGGAACGTGGCTTGGTAGCACACATCAGCATCACATCACAGAAACATGCAGTTTCAAGCAATGTTGGTAATGTTTTAAGAATGGACAACCTATGCCCAATAAATGCACAGCAAGGTTTAGTGAGTTGGCAGAGCTACTGTTTTGGTAAAATCATGGAAGGTTTTGTGTATTGTGTATTGTAAAGTCTGCCGAAAACTTGTGCCAACTAAATCTGGAAATGCTGCAAATTTGTTTCACCACTTGAACCATAGCCATACAGTAGAACATACAAAATACAAGTGATCACAGTCAACAACAGCAATTAGGGTTTCAACTTTCAGTCTGAAGAAATACAGGACAAATTGCGTCCTGTATTGGTAAAAAAAAATAGGACACCCTTTTTAAATTTTTCATTACAAGGTGGGTGGCAACCCTACCAGCAATGTCAATCCTGTTCTCTAGAACGAGCATTGAGGCAGTCAGGGAAAAAGTCCAGCAATTAACCATACTGTTGCTGTTTTCTAGTGTTCATTTTTGTATGATTTATTTGTTAAAATTACACTTCAGTTTGCAGTCCATACTAATTTTTGCCTGTTTTCATGTTCCGAATCTGATTAAGGGCAATTTGAGGGAATTTTAAGTAAACATTGAGCCTTGAAGTAAAGAAGTACTTGAATTATATAATGAAGATTATCAATATGGACTGAAAAAAATATTTAATATTATAATTATTGTCCAGCTCTAGTTATACGTCAGAATGATAACATTTGCACCTGACTTTGCCAGCATCGACCCATTGAATACTTTTGAATTGCTCTTACCCATTTGGTACTCAGATGGTGCTGGCACCCTACAAACATCCATCTGTCCATCTTCCAGCTGCTTATACTGGTCAGGGTCACTGAGGGGCCTTGAGCCTCTCCCAGGCAGCATAGGGCATACCTTGAAGTGGATGAACTTGCATAATTGCTGTAATGTTTTTTGGAAATCTATTTCACTTCACTCTTTTCTCTCCTTAGTATTGTTTTACTCATCAAAGAATTAAAGTAAAGCAGTGGCGGTACTCTCAGGTTTTATGAGGTCCGCTAACTGTGCATGTCCTTCACACATCTGTTACTTTCCCATTATTTTTGGTTGGTTCATCTGTTTCTCCCGGGTAGATATGACTTTGGTCCCATCTATAAAAGGATGAATTATGTCAAGGAGTAGTTCAGTAGGCCTTCTGTTGATTAATGTTTTTGGAGTGTGATGTTCATGACTGTGTTCTCAGGAGGCAGCTGTACATCTTTCATTTTGTAATTGGTGGTCAGTGAAAATTCTGGGCCTCTACAGTGGTTGGACAGCAAAGAGTTTGGCGTTTCTGTAAGGAATAGAAAAGTAAAGACTTTGTGAAATCCAATTGTCCTTAAGAGAAGTGGCTAATTTGGTAGCCTGGAAGCTGGTTCATGCCTCTCTGCCCAAGTGCAACACTTGCGTATCCACTCTACATATGCGTATACGGAAACGTTTATAGTTCTCCGGTCAAGCCACGTAATTTGCACATGCACACAACGTGTTGTACTTTGTTACTATTATCCATCCATCCATTTTCCAAACCGCTTATCCTTCTGGGTCCTGAGCCTATCCCGGAAGCTACAGGCACGAGGCAGGGAACAACCCAGGAGGGGGGGGGGGGGGGGAAGCCCATCGCAGGGCACACTCACACACCATTTACTCACACATGCACACCTATGGGCAATTTAGTAACTCCAATTAGCCTCAGCATGTCTTTGGACTGTGGGTATATTATTATTATTATTATTATTATTATTATTATTATTAATTATTATTCTGATATTCCCTGCACACGTACTACAGCAGTGAGGTTTGTGTCAGTTTCTCTGTGTTACAAATTCAGAGAGCCAGCTCCCTTTTTTTTCCAACTGGCTGGCGTGAGATTTTCAATTTCAGACAAATCCGCACACATACACATGTATGTAACAATTTTATTACCTTGTAAATAGTCTGTAGGGTTTGTAAACTACCCCAGTACACACCAAAAGCATCCATGTTGGTAGTTAAAGTGGATGCTAGCGAATCAATCATGCGCAGTGTGTTCTGAGCCACACAGACACAAATTTGGAATGCAGCAGAATTTTGTCTATAGAGGAGCACAATGACATCAAACGTGTCATAAACGTTCGAGCGAACATATCCACTAGTACACTTACGGAGTATGAACCATTCTTGAAGTTTAAACATATTCTGCATGAAAATTTTACCTGGAATCTCAATTTCATTTGCTAAGTATGTGCTTTGCAAGAACAAAACATAAAACTTCATCTCAGAGTCATATAGCTAAGGGCATGAAAATGCATGAAGACAGAAGGCTTTCACATAATATCAGTACATATTGAATAACAGACTGCTTTTTATAAATTCAGCGTGGAGCCTTAGTGTAATAGTTTTTGTGTTTTGCAGTGCTCTGAATGTTTAAGAAAGTTACCCTCTGGCATTTTGAGAACTCGCACAAGCAGAAAGCAAAAATGGGTCACAGTCCTTTTTATTGCAGTGGATTAATAATACCTACTTGAACAAATTAAGCATAATATTCTTGAAATATATATGAAATAAACATCAAAGCATTTTGTAAAGTACTCTCTTTTGCATTTCATGTAATTTGAATAGCATCCTAATTGTGATACTGTATTTTGTTCTTTTATACAATTGATTCCATTCTTTTCTATAATCTATAATCATCTGTGGCTCCTGAGGGGTGTAATCTCTTTTGCCGCTATTCCACTGGTATACAGGAACCAAGCTGTACCACGAAGAGAGAGTTTCAGCACAGTTCTAGCTCACTTTGCTTTTCCTCTGCAGAAGGGTTAGCTCAATAAAGGCGTTGCTGGGTTTGGAGAGCAACAGTGATGTAAAATGGAAGAAACACTTATTTACTGTTCACATGATGTACATCATGATTTTCTATGTGCTAATTTCCCCCAGCATGTCTGTTAGAATTGTCGTCTTAGTAGTAGTAGTACTAGTAGTGAGCAAAATAATCTCAAAGCTTCAGGTATTCTCATGTCTTGTTTGAGAGCAAGTGCTGTTTTGTCTGCTGACTGTAATGCCATGTCACGGTTCACCCAGGACAAAATTGACAAACCAGCAACGAAATGCTTTTTTTTTTTTTTCTTTACATAATTAGTTATTCAGTGGGCAGAGCATGGGATTATGAAAATTAAAAAAAAAAAAAAAAAAAGTGTTTGTAATCTCCCCCTGCTCTGGCCCTGTAAGCTGATTTGGGCGCATGTGATCCTGTTGCAGATAGGATTGCTTGCTGTGTTTTACAGTACTGGCAGGGAACACAGGCTGTTTCTGCCAGACTCATCACTGATTAGCTGTGCGAAAGAGTGCAGAAAGCTGTCAGCACAGATGATGGCTCTTCATTGGAGTCAGCATCCAGTTTTTAACTAGCAGAATGTTTTGTTTTCTCTGAATCACATTACTCTTAAAAGCCGTTTACTCAGCAGTGACCAAATTCAGCCTCGCCAGTAATGCCTGAGGTTGCCAACAGCAATAAGAAAATTAGACCAAGGTTACACCCAGTACTCAAATAGAATTGTTGGCTCTAATACCTGTGTTGTCATTTTTGTTGTTCTCCCCATAAGAGAAAATGCATTTTAACAGAGTCTTGGATGATGACAGCTTAATCTGATTATTTTGAGATTTTCATGTTTCTTTGGACGAGTTGTTCTTACCTTACGGTTATTTGGACACATAGCACAGAGTGTCTGTTCTTATAGTATGTGGGACAAACCAGCTGGTTTCCCCTATTGCTCCTACAGACTGCTGCTCTTCATTTGTCTTCATTTGCTTTTTGAACTTTTTCTTTCCCCTCCTGATAGCATAACCGGTTCATTATTTTGCCATGTCATCTGATTTTCTGGTACTGAGATTTTTTAATCTTGTGTGTGTGTGTCTGTGTGTGTGTGTGTGTGTGTGTCTGTGTGTGTGTGTGTATGTGTAGGTTGTATGTGTCTCCAAAGAAGCAGGTGTTGGCAGAGGAGAGGCCAGAGTCTCCTCTAAAGTGGTGTAGGAAGGTGTTGGATCACCCCAGCCCAGAGACTGAGGTGGCCTGCCGCATGCTTATCAACCGCCTGGACCAAAGTAAGTCCTCACCCGTGTGAAATGCATTTGCTTGCCACAGTAATGATCTCATGTGCTGTCATAGGAAGGGAATACAAGGCTTCCCCACAACTCCTTTTTTCCCCATCCATAACCTGTTAAACATATCCATCCTTTCTGCATAAGACATTTCTAAAAATGCCTGTAAAACAAAGTAGATGCTAGCAATTTACCTTCCATGGGAGTAGAAGTGGTACCTTTCCTGCTACTCGTAACCATCAGATCATTGTTGTTCATTTGTGAGACAGGTCAGAGTTCTCTTACTCTGTGTGCTGCAGTTATTTTACTGCTCAATGACGTTTTTGTGAGCTCAGATGTGCGTGCTCTGTGATACCCACCCAGGTGTGTGTGCTACTCAGCTGACCATTCCATTATGTAATGGCTCCCCCGTGGCTTCCATCACTGCTCTAGTTCCACAACAAATGGTGAAGAGCCCTACCACACCCTCTCTCGGCGGTTAGCTCGGATTACCACAGCCTGGATCAGTTCCCCTTTTGTAATTCTTCTGTAAAACCTGGTCAGCTGTGCAACTGCTTTTTAAAGCAATAACAAAGGAAGCACGATGTAAATGTAACACAAGGTGCAATTGAAGTTTAAAGCAAACATTTGTATTAATGCTTTGCTGCTGCCTCTCATGAGCAAACTGCAATAGTTAATAAGAGGCACCTGTAGTTTGAGGAAAGGTTTGTAGTAATATATCATTTAAACTTGAGTTCCTCCTCTCTTAGCTTTTATGACCCCGTCAAAACACGAATGAAATTAACATCATATCTGTTTGTTTCTCTCAGAAATTTTAAATCTGTCAGTCAGTGTCTCTGGGGAAAAATGTAGAAAAGCCTAAAGTTTTTTTTAAATTCTGTTTTTTACGTGTTATGTCCCCACTCAATTCTGAATGCGTGTTGTGTTTGGTCAAGTCCTGTAGACGGTAGGTATCATTTTTATCAGTTTATTAGCCTTGTTTACATCATGGAAAGAGATGCCCATGGCTTGGGTGCTGCACCGTGAATCAGCCTGAGAATGATCTGGTGTCTGAATGCTTGTGATGTGTCTTCTCTCCTCCAGCCACCCGATGGAGGAACATATATAGCAGCCCCTCTCAGACTGTGGGGCCAGCCTCGGAGTCTGGCCCTGGCACTGCCTTACTGTCGCCTGGGTACCACAAAACAACTAACAAAACACTACTAACCTGTGGCAGCTCAGGTATGGCATGACGTTAACACACTCTGCCCCTTGGTATGTCTGTCATGTTCAAGTTAAAGGGCTCTCTTCTAATGTCCCAGTGGGAAAGTATCTCTGCTATTTGTCTTTGAATCATGCTTCATATTATAGTGTAACTTATGGCTTTGCATCTTAGCTTTAAAGCTTTTAGTGCTTTATTAATTGTGAAATGTGCACCGTCTTAGAATTTCTTGCAATGCAATTTCTTGGAATTCAAGCATTGCAGAGTTTGCATGGAATGCCTTCTCACCTTTTAACTTCTGATTTGAAGTACAGAATGTTTAAAATTGCTAACACTAATACAGGACATTAAGTTTGGCTGCAAGGTCTGTGCATGGCATGATGTCAGACAAATTAGGCCTCTTATTAATTAACCTCTCTGCATGAGCATTTTACAGAAAATCCTCTACATACAACCCTTCAAGATGCAAACTTTCAATGACGTGAACATGCGTGCCCAATAAATTAAAAAAAAATTAATTGTGCCCGAATTTCAAATTTTGTAACAGAGTGTATGTTAGTTCCTGTCTCTGACGCTTGGCAGTGCACAGAACCCACGCTGTTATTTTATATATGCTTAGTCATGGGCAGCCTTTATCCACCACAAGTGTTCATTATTGACTGCATATTTGTGTTGAGTTATCAGGGCTATTTTAAACCCAAGATGTCGGGAATTAAACAAAAAACAAGGGTTGATCTAGCTGGTAGCGCTAAGATGCACCAGGCTGTTACAATGGAAACGAGAATGGAAGAAAGTTGAACGTTACAAACGCGGTGAAAAGATGGTTTATGTCGCTCATGCATATAATATGAACAAATCCACCATCTGCACGATTTTAAAGAACAAGGACAAGGTAATGGAACGTGAAAAATGCTGTGCCGATGTCATGGACGAGCGTCATCAGCTGGACGCGCAGGCTAACTCTGTCGAACTTGCGAACTTTTGGACTTGTGAACCCACTCTCACAGCAGAACTGGTCTCTTGGGGACTTAGTGTATACCCTTAATTGCTTTGGTTGCTTATAATAAGCCTTTCTGTAGGAGTTAGTATTTTAAAGGCAGCATTGCAGCAGACATGAACACTAGCATAGGATACCAGCTGATTTTAAAAAGTGAATTTTGAAATTGAGCCGATGTCTGTCATTCAAAATTTAAATGTTCTGTCTAGCATCTTTAGCCTCTTATTCTTGTGTTCCTTCTGTGCTACCCTTACTATACCACTGAGCTAGCTGTATGTGGTACAATGCATTTTATTCAGAGAAAAAGATCGTATAACATTTATCAGGGTGTCCGTGGGGTTTTAAAAAGTATTAAAAGGTAGTAAATCACATAAGCAAAAATTAAAGCCATTAAAAAGTATTAAAAGGTATTACACGCAAATTTACGAGATATTAAATTTCAGAAAAAAAAATTTTAACTACAAATTGTCCGTTTGTGTTTTAAAATTTATCTGCTAAATTTCTCGCAAATTATTTTAAATGTGGATTAGGCTCATTCCTTCATTCATAGATGATCTCTGTGATGCTGACGTCATATTCGGTGGTCGAGTGACGCCTTAAAAAGTTTGCGTGCTGAAGTACATGTTGGCTGCTTACACTCAGAAAAGCTAAGTCATAGTCATCATGGGTAAGTGCAAATTTGCACGTAAGTGGTTAGAGGACCCAGCGTTTAAGGACTGGCTAAGGCCGGTAGCAGGAAAATATTGAGAGGGTTACTGATCAGTTTGCAAAAAAAAAACATAAATATCACCTGGATGGGGGTTAGCGCTCTCTGGTCGCATATGCGATGCGCAACTCATAAATCAGGAATGCATGGATGAGAGCAGTTAGTCAACTGGTGCAAATCGACAAACTCAATGAAGAAAAAGCCAAACAATTAAGGCACTTGCCATGAATAGCCTAGTGGATAAAGATATGGACTTGTGACTGAAGAAGTTAAATGCAAGATGTTTTCAAAATCACAGTCACTAAATTTATTCTGTTGACCCATGTTCCCTATTTAAATTCTGTTGTACAGGCCAAAATTGTGTAACATTATAAATCTTTAAATCAATTTGAAACTTGTTTAAAAACGGTTGCAACTCAATGCCGTGCGGGTTTTAAAAAATATTGAGAAAGTATTAAAAAAGGTATTAAAAAGTGTTAAATTGAACCTCTGGATTTCTGTATATACCCTGTTTATAGTCACAACATCTGCTTATACATGCATTTTACATGCATCAGAAACTGGGTATTTTAATATATCCTTCAGTATGAGTGAACTCTGTGTACAGAGGCAAATCCTTTAAGGTAGTATGCTTTCTTCCCTTTGTTCCCAGGTCATATGGGCACGCACTCCGCCTTAAGCTCACAGTCTTCTATAGACAGTGAGTTGAGCACCTCGGATGACTCCATCTCCATGGGATACAAGCTACAGGACTTGACCGATGTTCAGATTATGGCTCGGCTGCAGGAAGAAAGTGAGTGTAGCTGCCTGACTGATCTCGTCTAATAAATTGTTGTAACAAGCCCTCTTGCCCTGTAGTACCTTAGTGCTGTGTTCTAAGATCTGAAAGCATAAAGCAGTCATATAACGCTAATGCCTTTTGACTGCAGTTTGTTCTTTTGTTCTGCAGTATTTATAGGAATGTAATACATTAAGGTTTGTAATAAACAGATATAAAAAGCAGAAACATAATTATTTCTACCAATGTATGTTAATTCAAAAGACTGCTAAGACTAATCTTCCTTAGTCTTAGCAGTGAGCTAACGTTAATAGTCTCCTTGGCAAACACTTTGTACCTGTATATGTGTCTGTCTGTCTGTCTGTGTGTGCGTGTACCTATGCGCGTGTACCGTTGCACATACACAGGCCTCAGGCAGGATTACGCCTCCAGCTCGGCCTCAGTGTCACGTCGCAGCTCCAGTGCTTCCCTGCAGTCCTTGCGCCGGGGCACGTACAGCGACCAGGAGTTCGATTCCTACAGCCTGGAGGATGAGGAAGATGGCTGCTTCTCCCTTCCCCAACGCCTGCATCGCTACTCCCCCTCCCCGCTGAGCTCGCCCCGCTGCCAGTCCCCCAACACCCTGGCAGAGTATAGCCGCCTGAGTGCCCAGCGTACCCGCACCCCTCGGCGCTCCTTACAGGGTCCCGGCTCCGAGCTTCTCGCCTTTGCCCAGACCGAGGGTATGTGCAGGGCTCCCCAGTACCACCCTGTACTCCTAGCTTGGGCGGTATGACAGTATTACGGTACACCCCAGTATTAATACATAACATCACCCTGTACTCTTAGCTTGGGCGGTATGACAGTATTACGGTACGCCCCAGTATTAATACATAACATCACCCTGTACTCCTAGCTTGGGCGGTATGACAGTATTACGGTACACCCCAGTATTAAAACATAAGACTTTTCAATACTGAAAAAAATATAGATGCTCTTTCTATGAAATTGATATAGAGAGGCGATGCACTGTACATTAGCTGAGATTGGAACCTTGGAAGTCTTAAAAAAAAGAATAATGCGCATGCATAGGTCAATGCCACAAAAACAATCTGCTGTGAATGCACTGCAAACTGTTGGCGCACGTGTGGCATACGTGAAACATAGTGCGCATGCGGCCACAGATCAGGGAGTGACACTGGTGTCAATAAACAAAGGGTGATATTTTTAACTCGTTAACAAGGAGTTGTCTCCTCATTTTACTTGCGCTCAACTACCACACTGATGAGCCTGTTCGGGCTATCTCCGATTCTGGTGTCTACAGTAGCCTACATGATTTATGTCATTTATATATATATACACACACACACACCGTCAGAAGAAATATACCGCCCAAGCCTACTTTTAACAGGCATCCACCTAATCAAATAAAGTGTTCCTGGTTCCCTGCTCATTTGAGGGTTTTCATAAATTTTTTATATTTGTTCAGTCTTATTTTTATTTAAATATAGAGCATTTTCATTTTATTTTTGGTAGACAAAACATGTTCAAATAGTTTGTCTGGGAAAATTCTTGTAAGTTTATTTGCCATGAAATACGGGTGTAGTGTTATTCTCCATCTGGCTGGGAACGCCTTTGTCAGCGAGGCCTTGCTGTGTGTGGTTACAGATGAGTTAAGGCACAGCATGCCCAACCTGGCACCACGCACCAGCCTCCGCTCTCTCGAGGCAGTGAGGAATAGCCGTAGCATGGAAGCCAACCTGCAGAGTCCAGGCAGCCGGATGTCCCGCCTGCCCCACTCCTCCAGTATAGGTCTGTACCACACTGTGCTTCACTTCCCTCTTATAGAGGTCTGTACCATGCTCTTGCCCCTGTGGTATAGGTCTGTACCACTCTTGCACCAGTTATTTGAGTTTTGCTAGTAATGCCGTTGGGGTTGCCACGGTTAGTCAACATAGTCGATGACGTTAATGCTGAAAATGCATCGACATCAATATTTTATATTGACGCATCGTTTTTTAGATATTTTTATGCCTCAATATTTTATATCGATACATTACTTTAATTAAATTACCATTATGATTTTTAAAATGTTTCAATTTATTATAACAAATGTTTTCCTTTAATATCACTATGTAATTATGGGAGTAGTTCATATTATCACAAAACAAATAGGTGTTTTTACAGTGTGCAAAGTTCGATGGCATACTACAAGGGCACTAGTGTTGTATACGAGCACCTGAAGAGAACACACAGGTGCTATTCTGGACTGCCAGAATAAGCAAAACAAAATTAACTTAAACAGTCTATTTGATTTTCTGAAGGAAAATAAATCATTTAGATTAACCAACCAATTGGTAAAATAGTCAATAGATTAATCTATAGAAAAATGGTCATTACTGGAAGCCCTAAATGCCATATGCAAAACATTACTCTCAACAGTTTAAGGAATATAGGTTTCATGAATATTACTTCCTCTGATTAAACAAATTGTGGTCATCATGTAATGAATGGTCACGTGGCTGAAAAAATATTCAGTCTAAATGGGAAAGATGCACATGCAGTTTTTAAATGGCTTATACTGCACCACTTATACAACATTTGAACTTGCATTGCCCCAAATTTTCATTGTACATAATAAATTTATTTGTGAAAACCTTTGGCTCCTGAAGAGTGAACCAGATAGACTGGATCTGTAATTGAGGATTCAATGATGGGTGTGAACACCGTGGGTCATCAGATTTAAAAAGAAAAAGAAAGATTCTACGATTCTAGTTGACCTCCCAGACTGAACTTATATTGTAGCCTCTTAGTGAGTACATACACCTGTGTTTAGGTAAAAGTATAGGTGGGTGTGGTTCTGCAAATACAGAAAGGACAATACTGAAGTAGTGTGTCATACTCCAATGTGATACAGCACTAATAGGTCACACAATACCAACATTTCTATAACAATACTGTATAAGAAGACCTTTTATTACAGAAATATGTTCCCTCTTTTCAACAGGGATCTACCTATAATAGAGAGAGGTTGAGTAGTGGTGATATAGACTTAACTATTCTGCATCAATGATGGTTACCATAATAGCCAAAAGTAGTTATACATTAGGTAATACAATACACATGAATGTGATCTAAATAATATTAAATATATGCTATGAATAAAGTAAAAACAGAAGGGTTAGTTGATACATATGCCAGCAACATTTCAAAGGTTAAATACTTGCAGTCAGTCAAATCCAGCTACTTCTAAATCAGAAAAAACAAAACCCATTCACCTCGTCCTTTTTCTCAAGTATTGCAAGCTGCTGGTAATACGTGTGCCTCTCATTGATCCCTTTCATACCCATCTGACCTGAACCATCCTTTTTAACGATACTCACAAAGCAAGCCTTTTTATTCGCATAAAGGTCTATTGGAACAAGAAGCATAACATATAAAGAGGGTATGTACAAATAACTATTGTGACAAGTAGAATAGTGCTATGGGGAATAAGGGACTTTTATAAATTAATTATTTCAAGCTTTGGTCTGCAATACAATACAGCTTGCAATGCAATACAAAACTCCAATAACAGGAACCTACATCAGAATCACTAATGATGTGGCAGTGATTTATGCTGTACTGTACTGCCCTCTTAGGGGCCCTATATGAAACAATCACTAGATTATTAAAATATTTTTCTCTTCTACAAAATGATATTAAAGTCATTTGAAATTTCTTATGCATTTACCAATACCTGTGGTTTTGCATCTGGTATAAGGAAAATATCTAAACGCATTGTTTTACTCCTGCATTAGTATCCCTTGCCTTGTTTCATACAATCCTATTAATTCCTGGTTTTATTTTTTATTTCTTGGCTGACCCATGCAAATCCATGACTTCTTCCCCAGGTGTATCTTCCACAAGGCTACGTAGCAATGGTCAGTCTCCCCTGTCTCTCCGCGCCCCTGTGAAAGCTTTGAGCCCGGTAGGCACCATGACGGGAGTGCGGCAACCACAGAGGGCTCACACCGTGACTCAGGAGGGACCCTTGGGCGGCGCACACAGGGGCCAGTCACCAGGCCCTTCCAATGGCGGAGCTTCATCAGCCACTCGGCTTACTACTGTGACAAATAGGAGTGCACCAGGCAGGGCGCGGAGCTCACTGGGAGGGTCTGGGGCTGCATCTCGAGGAAGACTTGCCCAACCCACCAGGAGGTAGGGTATACCAGAGAAGGTCAGACAGAGACTACAGTCCATTTAGAAGGCTTGTTTTATACAAACTAAAGATAAGGAAGCAGAAGATTTAGTTTCATTGTCAGCCAGCCAAAGTTGTCGTCGTTGGTTAAAACTCTTATTTTTAAACTCACTCTGTAAGCTGTAGTGTTCAGGTATGGGAGTTCTTCATATCAAAATCAGTTCAATGAATGTGACCATGCTGGAATTTTAGTTACTTGTATAAGATTAGATTTTTCATGATACTATTTAACAGGTAAAACGTAATTGTATATAAATGTATTTTTTAGAAAAGAAAAAAGTATGATACAATACTGAAACCTGATTAAAATGCATCAGATAACGACCAAATAATTCCTTTTGACAGGTCTCTAGGGTTGACCAAATCATGCAGACCTGTCGCCGATGAGTCATGGAAGGACGGCTGTTACTGAGCCCTAAGAATTTCTGTCAATCCGTTTGTCACAACACCAACTTACTGCCTCCCAACAGCAGATCCCCAGCAGGCTGGGAAACTGGCTGCTCCACACTTCATGAAGGACAAGTCATGGAATTAACATGGCCAGAACAGACTCTTTGGAAGAGTCATTCAGTGATGCAGAGACTAGAAACTGACAAAATGGCAGCCAGATTGCATCGTTTTTACAGCATAGTTCTGACATGTTGGAGTGATTGTTAAAGTTGAAGTAGTTCAAGTTGTGACGTTTAGGTTATTTTTAATTCTATGTTTTCATAGGCTATCAGAATTATATACATTTACCATGATATGTTTTATGTAAATTTTGTTTGCATACAATGTTCTAATCATAAATGGACATATATCTTTATGGCATTGTAAGAAAATTGCATCTCACCCTTTTTGGGTCTTTGAGAAATGAAGGATAATGTGGGGGGGGGGTCTTTTACCATGGCTATCTGTGTTTTCCGACAGTACAATGTCTTGTAAACTAATTTCAACTGATTTTTTTAATGATGATGCTGACATTTACTTCATAAATCTACATTAAGTTATAACAGTACAAAAGCCTGGGTCTGGTACTTAAAACACCTGTTTAGTGCTTCATGGTTTGGTATTAAATGTTGGTTTTTGATATAGCAATAATCACATTACAGCAATTTGAAGATACACAAAATGTAAGCTCAAATGGCAACTGAGAATTAAAACTTACTGTAAATACAGTTTTTGAATCTTTTTCCTCGTGTATTTTGTTAGCATGTGGATCACCACTGTCGTATAGTGTATTGAATTATGTCACCAAGCTCGTCTAATCAAGGTACGCGGTAAGTGGCGGTGTCTAGGACCCTGTTTCTGTGTGGCGGCAAACGACAGGCGGTCGGCGAACATTTCATTGTTTTGGTGCTACTGGCGCGTTTAAATTGACCGCGGCTATTTCAGCTAATTTAGAGTTTCACTTGAAGCAGAAATAACCAAACTAGATATCTTACTTTAAACCCATTGCGTTGGAGAAAACCGTAATGCGTGGAGAAGTTGAAGGTAAAAGACAAAGATTATGACAATGATCATCCTGTTGTGAAGCTTCAGGACCAGATGGATGTCATTGTAAAGGCTGTCGTCGATATGTCAGGATTTCAAAATACTTTGTTGGTACCTAATAATAATATAAACCATAATTTTTGGGCTTCACCATTAGTGTCCTTAAAGTGCTAGACAATCTGATGATTCTGTGAATATTTTGCGTCTATAACCAATTCCCTAACCGAGTTCCCAAAAAGTGGTAATTATTTCTATTATCTTAAATTATGTTCAGTCACACCTTAAACCATTATATCGGTCAATCAGTCGTAATGACTATTGCAGTTCTATATTAACTTCGACATTTGGATTCCCGGCGAATCTGAAGTATGTCAAATTTATACTCTTAAAATACAGTTTTAATTTCTGATGAGGTGTTTGCGTATGAGATGAAACATACCACCGTAAATTGTGCGAATTTTATAGGAAAGCCCAGTAAAAAAGTTTTGGATAGGCCGCTCGGAATAATGCCGTTATCTTACGTTGCTATTCCCAATTTGTTTCGGTTTTCAGGATTTTCGGAAATGTAGAAGCCTACATCGGTAGCGTGGCCGAGCGGTCTAAGGCGCTGGATTAAGGCTCCAGTCTCTTCGGGGGCGTGGGTTCGAATCCCACCGCTGCCATCTATTTTTTACGGTTTTGTATTTTTATTTATTTTTTTTGAATACAAAAAAGATTTTCTGCACTAACATTAATAATGTTACTAATCATTCTGCAGCTTTACATATATTCCTTATTCCGAAGTAAAGCGACAAATTGTGCGTTAAGCCGACAACAATTATAATCGCGATTCATATATTTTTGGCCTTTTTGGTCGTCTGCCTACCCGTACATTAATTGGTGGATGCCTGGTGACGTCTGGTCGGGGGGTGTTTGAGGTGGTAGGGTAATTTGCTAGATGTTTGTCGCAGACGTTCCATTTTGAGATATAAATTCGTTTATACTTCAGTGTTGTGCTAAAGTATTTGTTTGGCTAGATTGTATTCCGGTTTACCAGGTAGTCGCGGCTGTTTCTGAAAAACGTCGTGTTGTGTATAAATGCTATGTCCATCCTGGTTGATTCTTTGCCAGCTAAATAATTATAAGTAAAATATAACCACTTACCTTGGTAAAGAAATTGAGCAAAACAGTGTTGACCAATTTGCCTAGCTAAGTACGGGATTATATGCAGTTGAAATGTATAGAATACGTGCACAAACTATTTGAACTAACTTGTAATATACTGTGTGTTCCAAGTACGGTAATGCAACTAGCGTTTAACCGCAAGGCAAAAACTAGCCTGTATTTTGCGTCCGACTTATTTTGTCATTATTTTGCTACGGAATAAATACTAGGTCGGAGATGTTGCACATAAAATGTAACTTCTTATGACCGACCCCCCGATTCTGTACATGTGGCTAAACGGACAAATGTCTGATTCGCTTTACATATGAACTGTTGTTCTATCGACCAATGGTACCTATCGAAACGTGCCATCGAGCCTTTATGCGCATGTGCAGTCCCACCGTTTTGGGATTAGGGTTAGGTTTTAGGGGTTAGGGCTTTAGGGGTTTTTTTGGGTTATGGCTAGGGCTATCGATTAGGACTACGGTAGCCTAACTCGACAAAGTAGCTCAACTTGTCAGAACACCGTTACTAAGATTTATCTTCGGTTGCAGTTCTGTGTCATCCCTGATCGGGGTCTCCAGTCATGAAGCCACCCTCCCGTCGGCGAGAAATACCGCAGCGTTTCATGCGGCAACAGCCTGAGCGCCTCAAAGTTCGTGGTGACTGGTGTGGATGGAGTCGGGCCGAGAGGCGTCGGCTGATGATTGAACTGAGAAAGCAGTCCTGCAAGCCTGAATTAGACATTAATATCCTGAAGGAGAAACTCCCCAAGCGGTCTACGATAGAGGTAAATGAGAAAAATATAAATGAGTTATTGCTTTGGTGGTCTCTTACCCTGCCAGAGATACCCGGACACTGTGTTCTCTAACAATTTAAGTTTCCACAAATTTGTTCTCACTCTTCTTTAGATCTGTGCTTGCCTTTTTTCAGCCTTTAAAGTTAGCATGGAAATTTAATGCTCACCAAAAAGTTGGTGTCAATTAATTAAGAATTAATAATATCCCCTCCCTTCTCCAAATTGACACCTAGGTCCTGCTTATGCCAGTTGCAGCAGTTTCAGATGATTAAATTAGTAGCCTCCAAATATCATACCTGTCATGCATTGCAGTAATTAGCAGATTCCACAAACATGCTTTTTTTCTTTAAATACGCACCTCGACAACATAGTTTGACTACAAACATTACAAATTATGACATTTCAAAATTGTTTTAAGTATTGTGCCAAATATTTTTGTGTTGACTTCATAATGAGATTGTATACATTAAAATGAGAGAGAGAAAAGTAGCATGTTACAGGTTCATATAAAATGCACGACTTCATCCTCACAAATGTTTCCCATTCAAATGGGGGGCCCTTGTCATCATGGGGGGGTGGGTTGGGCCCTGGGGCAGCTTCCCTGGCTGCCTTGCGTATTAATCTGCCCCTGTTTTGGCCAACAGTTATGTAAGTTTGCTTTATATATTTTGAGTTCAGATCACCAGCTTCCTGCAAAAACTGAAGAGTCGTGTTGGGAAGATGGTGGCAACCTATGTTCAACGCCAGCTACGGGAGGAGCGGTTGGCCCGGGTACCTACACAGGTGTGGGAGAAGCTTGCGCAGGACATGGCTGGCTCAATGGAAGAGGCCATCTCTTCCGCTTTCTCTCAGGTCTGTAGGGGCTTTTGGGGGTATGTAGTTGAAGCATGTTTTTTTCCACTCAGTATAGTTATGAGTAAATAGGCAGAGTAGGAGGCAGAGTAGTCAATGGCATAATGGAAAATTACACAATTTTTTGGCAGACTTAAACCAGTACTTGACGCAAGTTCTACACTATGCCTTTCTTTATATTTGTGTGTAAGTAAAGTTTAACATGTACCTGCTGAATTCTTAGGAGATCAGAACTATATACCGTAGCAGCATATCACATTGTAAGTGTCCAGCAAGTATAATCATTGGCTCAACTTTATTGCTGATAATTAGCCCTGACAGGAACTCCGGCATTGTCTTGCTGAACATTTGAATTCTTCCTATTGACTCAGGCAGAGTGAAAACATGTTTTATTATGTATGTATTTGTATATGTACATACTCAGACTGTGTGTTTAAATAAGTATACATCTTCATTAACTATTTATCCATTTCACCAGTGATCCAGAACCTAGTTCCATACTCAGAGAACATCTGCAGTGGACTACAGGTCCTGGATAAGTTTTGGAATTCTTGGATACAGAGGGAAAAATTTGGAAATTAGCCTTGTTCATTTTTGTTTCCCGCTTTGTTCCACACGGAAATGTACGAGCAGAAGTCAATAGTTAACTACTTTGGTAAACATCAGTTTCTGGCACTTTTACCGCACAGATTTTGCGTATTTGAGATTGCTGCTTTTTATTTTTCTGACTGTTGCATGCCCCGAGTGCAGCACGGAGTGTGGATCAGTGATGGTTTGGGTTGCAATATCATGCCATTTCCTAGGGCCACTACTTGTTCTAGATGAGTGCGTCACTGCCAAGGACTACAGAAGCATTCTGGAGGACCATGGTCACCCAGTGGTTCAAACATTGTACCCTGAAGATGGTGCTGTGTATCAGGATGATAATGCACCAGTGCACACAGCAAAACATCTCCCATGGCCTGCAGAGTCACCAGATTTGAATATTAGTGACTCACTTTGGGGTGTTGTGGAGGAGTGAGTCAGGAAACTCTTTCACCAGGATCACATAATGACCTGGCCACTGTTCTGCAAGAGGAATGGCTCAGGACTTGTATCTGTCGTTCCCAATACAAACTAATTCTGTATTGGCCACAGAAGGAGACCTTGCACCATATCAATAAATTATTGTGGTCTATAACCAGGTGTTTTAGTTTCATTATCCAACTCTTGTATGTGGTTTCTCTTTTCTAGATGTTGGTGATTGGAGCCACAGAGCCTTGCAGCCTCTTACATTCCTTACCTCCTTGTTCCCTCGACTCCTCTGAGCCCTCAAGTTCTGGTGTGCGTACCATTACCCGGAAATCTTTGTCCAGATCTGCTTCCCCAAAGGTATAAAATGTTGTCAGCACCCATACCTCTGGCTCAGTTCCTGAGTCTGCTTTAGCCAGCCTCAGACAGTTCAGTATGAAACAACCATAATGCATCTCGCATCTCCACCTGTCCTGTCCCGTCAACAGGCAGTCAGCCCAAGCCTTAAGAGCCCCGCTCAGGGGAAGCCGTGCTCCTCCTCCACCGATCAGCAGCCTGAACCAGCTCAGCAGGCATTCCTGAGCCATTTCCGCAAGTCGGAACACACTGTGAATTTTGAAAACATTTATCGTTTTTTAAATGCGCTCAGCAAGAAGGCGAAAGAGCCCACTCTCACTGCTATGGGTGAGTGGACTGTATGCTTTGGAGTTTTTTTGTGTTTGTGTATATACACATACTGTATATGATGTACAGTACTGTGCAAAATACCTAGGCAGCCAAAGGAAGTTGTTTAGATTGCGTTTATGTTGGTGTAAACTATGCCGTTATGTAGAGGTGGAAAGTTCCGGTCCAGAAAGTACAAATCCAGACCAAGATTTTGTTTCAACCAATCAGTTCAATACTCTGAATGTTACACTTTATACCAAACTGTTTTGTTGAAATAAAATCTTGGTCTGGATTTGTACTTCCTGGACCTGAACTTTCCACCTCTGCTTGTATGTCTGTCACAAACCTCTCACAATCTCCCAAGTCACCATAGTAGTTAGTTCATTTAGTGAGCAGATGGCAAAATTTCTTGTGTCCCTGAGGAGAGGTTTGGGAATTGAAACTGTTCTAATCATTCCACAAGATATGAGTCATTTTTACGAGAACAAAAGAAAATCTTATTTTTGTTGTCACTGTTCATTTGCATATATTATAATGTTAAACTGTGTTCTTTTTCTGAAAAAATATAAATTTATTGCCCAGATACATAGCTTAAGACATTGTGCGCAATACTATATATGTTTACTTTCAGCTTTATTTTGTTTTTATGCTTTAAAACTTTGGTTTGCTTTTCACGTTTCCAGAGAGTGGAGTGGTATTAGACCTGCTGTTATCCTTGCCAGAAGAGCTCCCTCTGCTTGACTGCCAGGAACTGCAGCATCATCTGTGCCAGATACATGCACAGCTCAATGCAACTGCAGAGGAGCCACATCCCTGCGGCAGACAGGGCTCTAATCCAATCAGTTCATCTGTTGTTCACATGCCCCCTTCAGAGAAAGATGTACAAACAGAGGACAATTCTACCAATAAGCAACATGGACAAACTGATGTGTCAGAATCTTCAAATACCTCAGCCTCTGAGTTGGTTGGTGATAGAGCCTGCTGTTCCCATGGGGATGAAGATGCTGGCCATTCATTGAAGAACTCTCTAAATCAAACCAATCAAAAGGAGGATGAAAAAGACAGAGCTGCAAAAGGAAGCCCAGGACAACAAAGAGATACTTTGGCTAATGCTGGCACCATGACAATGCAGATCCAGACAGAATCCAACCAAAATGCCCCTACATCACCTCCAAGCCCTAGGACAGACAAAGCCAACTGGGCAAATGTGGGACACTGCCCAATGAACCCCTTCATGATTCCTCTTAAGCTACTGGCACGGTCTGCAACTCCACTTATGGAAGATGGCCCTTAGCTCCAGTTTTCATGGATTATAAACTAACATGCCAGCCAGATGTCTGTCAGACTAATTGAGTATTGAATTCCAGTCAAGTATGAAGGACTTTTTCCTCTTCTAGGCATTCACGATATTTGGTTGTTGAGCTATTGTGTTTATTTTTTTATGAATATTAAAGATCATTTTAATGTGAAAATGTATTCATTATTAACAATGGGGCAATGTTATATGTGCACAAATACTGTGATGGGGACCCAATGTCTGTTGCTGAGCTCTAATGCAATGCAATGTAATGCAATGCAGTGCAGCTTCTGTGCTCCCAGTGCTGATGCTAATCATTAATTTTGCTGTTTTTGACAACATCCTTTATACTGTGTATAAACAACACACTGTAATATACATTACAGGTATATGGACAGATGTACTGGAACATATAATCAATCATTGAATTCAGGTTTACCATTCAGACCCAAGGTGTATAAAATCAAGCAGCTGGCCATGCAGTCAAGTTCACAAACATTTGTGAAATGATGGGTCGTTCTGAAGAGCTCAGTGAATTCAAGCGTGGTGCTGTCATAGGATGCCACCATTGCAATAAGTCAGTTTGTGAACTTTCTTCCCTGCTAGATATTCCAAGCCAACTGTAAGTGGTATTATGGCAAAGTGGAAGCGTTTAGGAACAACAGAAACTCAGTCATGAAGTGGCAGACCACTTAATGTAATGGAACGGAGTTGCTGAGGTCCACAGTGCATAGAGGTCGCCAACACTCTGTTGACTCAGTAACTGCAGAGTGCCAAACTTCCTTTGGCATTAACTCCAGTGCAAAAACTATTCACCAGAAGCTTCATGGAATGGGCTTCCATGGCCGAGCAGCTGCATGCAGGCCTTACATCACCAAGCGCAATGGCAAGTGTCTTATGGAGTGATGTAAAGCATGCCGCCAGTGGAAATGTTCTGTGGAGTGACAAATCATGCTTCTCTGTCTGGTAGTCTGATGGATGGGCCTGGGTTTGGCAGATACCAAGAGAATGTTACTTGTCTGATTGCATTGTGCCAACTGTAAAGTTTGGTGGAGGATGGATAATGGTATGGGGTTGTTGTTCAGGGGTTGGGATAGACCTCTTAGTTCCAGTGAAGGGAATTCTTAATGCTTCAGAACACCAAGACATTTTGGACAATTTTATACTTCCAACTTCGTATAAAATTCTGTTCCAGTACGACTGTGCTATTGTGCACAAAGCAAGATCCATAAGACATGGTTGGGTGAGTTTGGTGTGGAAGAACTTGACTGGCCTGCCCAGAGCCCTGACCTCAATCCCATCTAACACCTTTGGGATGAACTAGAGCAGAGATTGCAAACCAGGCCTTCACATCCAATATCAGTTCCTGACCTCACAAGTGCTCTTTTGAATGAATGGGCAAGACTTCCTGACTTCCACATTCACATCCACATTTATGATCATTATCAGTTAACCCTCATTCATTAATTGTTTATTTTATGCTTGGATTTTATTACTCATGTGCAGTTGACCGGCGACATCTGGAGCTCATCTAATGACGTAAAATTGTTTAGATTTTAAAAATATGAAATGGAAACGCATCCTAAAGGCCATAATTATCCTTTCGGGAAAACCAGCCACAATATAACACCGAGGCATCATTGACTGGGCACCAACAATGAACATGGGACACAGCAGGCTGCCAGCATCACAGAAGTTGTTACTGTCAGTGGGAGGGTTTAGTTTGGTCTTGCACTGTGCATCGATTTCTTTTTCTGTTCTCCCACTCTAGCATCTGATGCCATGGATCAGGAAAATGTTCCTCCCCATCCAACATTTTCCCCTGCTGAATCCAGAGAAAGTGCAGCTGAGGAGCATCATTGTACTGTACTGGATCAAGATATGATGCTCTTTTTGGTGTCAAAGCATCAGCCATGTTGTGTACTCCTCTGAGTCTTGTTAGATTCCATGTTTCTCCCTTGAGCACACGCCTGGGTATGCCCTTGGGGCCAACAGCCTTGCGTTCATTCACTCTACTCAGAACAGCTTGAACATCAGAGATGGAAAGTCTGAGGGGCTGATCATCTGGGAGCAGGGCAGCTTTAATGGCTGGTGTTTTATTGTTCAAAATGGGGCACCATTAAAGACAGAAAAATATGCAAAGTCCTTACTGTATTTTGGCGGCCTGAAAATCAAAGTACTGAGCACAGGATGTAACAGTTCAGTCTTGAACAGCTGTACCTCGAAAGTGGAGTAGGAGCCAACTGACAACAATGAGCATTTAGATTCAAGAACTTTATTGTCATTCCACACATGAATAACACAGATACACAGAACAGACACAAGGAGACCCACTCCGACAACAAACGACAAACCATGGGGAACGCAGACAAACACAGGGACACCAACGACGGAAACCCAGGACACGGGAACACGAAAGGGGACAACAGAGGGACAACACCAGGGGACAAACCCACAGGAGGCACAAAAGGACCAGACAGAAACACAGGCAAAACAGAGGGACAAGGAGCAAACACCGGGGGCATGAAGGAATGGGGAGCAAACACAGGGGGCACAAAGGGAGGAGGCGAGGACGCAAAGGGCAGGGGGAAACGGGGAGCCGGAGAGAACCCCGGTGGGCAAAAAGCAGAAGCCGCAGGGGCAATGGGCGACCGCAAGGGTGGAGCAGGAGAGACCCTTGGCGACCGCGAGGCCAGAGTCGAAGGGGGCGAAGACCCACTACAACCCACCCGAGGGGGCACCTGGGCCACTAGGAAAATCCCTGAGGGGTCCCACTCACGTTCCTCCTCCAACTTCACTAAAGAGGGAGGAGCGGTGGTCAGGTGGTCTGGGACCTTCTCGGGGATGGGCTCTGGGGCCATGGGATCTGGGTCTGGAGTCATGGGGGATGTAGCAGGAGGGTCTAGAACCACGGGAGGCAGAACAGGAGGGTCTGGAACCACGGGGATAAGAGCTGGAGCCGCCAGGTCAGGAACCACTGGGGGCAGAGCTGGAGCTGCCGGGTGAGGAACCACTGGGGGCTGAGCAGGAAGATCGGGAACCACTGGGGGCTGAGCAGGAGGATCGGGAACCACTGGGGGCAGAGCTGGAGCCGCCGGGACGGGAACCGCTGGGGGCTAACCTGGAACATGTGGCGCAGGAACCTCAGGGGGTGCAGCCTGAGGTTGCGTCTCAGATGCGGGCATGGTGTCCCCTGCTGGGGAAGCCTGCACCATCCTCAAGCGGAGCAGCTTCCTCAGGGTTTCCTCCACTATGTCCAACTGCTGGAGTGGGGACGCTGGGGTGACGCTGGGCAGCTCGGACAGCAGGCCATATGGCAGTCCATTGTCCAAGGCTACTCACCTCATCATCGACTCTGCCGCCCCTCCTCGAAGCTGCCGGACAGTCGTGCACACCTCCCCGGCTAGGTGCGTGTCTCCGGGCAGGAACATCTCCTCCAGAACGTCCCTCCCCCTGTGAGCTAGAGCCCGAAGCACAGGATCATCTCGGACTTCGGGCTGATCAAACCAGTATGTTACTTTGTCGGCAGCGTTGAGGTATTCCTCTTCAAAGAGACGAGGCGATGTCTTCTGGAGTTCTGTCATTCTGTTATGACTTACAAGGTACGGACCAGGGAAGCAAGCAAAGGAGATAAGGACTGGGGAAAAATAACGGGATTTAATAGGCACACAAAGGGGCATAAGGAACAAACAGGCTTAACAATACAATGACAGAACTAGGGAAACAGACTCTGACGTGGATTTAAGTACACCAAACTAATGAAAACAACTCAAAACAGCTGGTAAACATGGAGAATCCTCACGAGGTTGAGGGGGGCGTGGCACAAGAGGATCGAATGAGCAGGTCATGATCATTGTTTTTTCCCTTAATCCACACCCCTAGGTGATAAGTTTGTCCATCATTTCTTTTACTGTTTGGTCCCTCGGCTGAACATAATGGTGGCGCGACCATCTCCACTTGGTTTTTTAAAAAGCTCAGCCATGAACTTCAGGGTTGCAATTCCAGGACTGAGAGACTTTCTACCCCCAGGCCATAAGGTTTCTGAACCTGGACATGCCATTGCACCTCACACCTTGATGTGCATTGTGCTCTTGTACCCCTCATCATACCCGCACTGTTACACTGGTCACTTTTTATTATGTCTTTTACCATTCATTTTAAATATACTTTTTCTGCTTGCATTTTAGCTCTTTTTGGACTTTAACTTTAGCACAATTGGAGTTTTAAATTTGCACAGTCTACAAAAGAGTGGTTCATGATGTATTTCACTGTGTGTTGTACTTTGTCTAACTATGTATGTGACAATTAATGAATCTTTGATTCTTGAGTTAGATTTGCTATATTTTATGGCACTTCATCATCCTTGCCTGTAGAGGTTGCTAGAGAGACATGCAAATAGTTGATGAAATTTAATATAACAATAGTCTGCATGGGTTATATAAGAATATATGGATATGTGGTGGTTAACTTTTTGTAAGGAATAAATTGCTAAAACAGTGTGTTTAGTATTACATCTGAGACTTAACTTTCAAGTTTTAATCCATCCAAGGTCTTTTTTTAATTGCCTTGTACTCTATGATGCCTGCAAAAGGCTCTCACTGCCTTCCACGATCCTGTTTGGCATAAGCTCTTGGAGGGTGATTAATTTTTAATCTCCTATTCACAATAATTTTTAGTTGTAGTGCTTTTCTTATTATTTTCCAGAGTAATGGTATTCAGTTCTTTGGAAAGAAAATGACCCGAAATAGTCCCCAGTTCATTTACACATGTAAAAATACAATTATGGGGAGTATTCCAGGTGAGATAAAGGATGACACAACAATGTAAACACTAAAATGGATGTACAAGGCAGGGACCATATTTTCTTGTGAAACAAAGAAGTGACGTCAATCGCTGTGGAGAGGCTAACCAGATCAACGATAACTTGCAAGTATGTCATTAAATAATAAACAAACATTCTGTTAGCCTGTCATTCCAAAATGTTTTTATATTTCTTTGTTAATTGACTATGCATGGATTTTCAACACATTCAAAATCCATTATCACGCAACTGCCAAAACATATTAAATGAAATACCGATAGTATCATCTGAGCTCACCAGACATCTCACTTGGGACACTCTCCGTATTTGTCTTTTTCCATGGGTGGAAGATCTTTACATGGTACAACATGTACCATTCTTTACATAATATATATGTAAATAATAAAATTATACATCTGTATATAATAACACTATTATTTTGCAAAGACCTAATATTTTTATTTTACACTATATTTACAGGAGCAATCGATATGGAGCTGTACAAAGTAGCTGCTTTATGAAAAGATCTTCCACATAAATCACATATTTAAAGCATTTACTTTTCTTCGGTTTTGTATAGTTTCAGTATGAAGCTAAATTATTCTTTGTTAAATACTTGAACATGCAATTAGGCTACAGTAGATTTTAAGATTCTTGCAATTCAGTTATGTTCCTATGATAACTAAAAGTCTGTCCATCCATCCATTTTCCTGGAGATACAACAAGACTGAAGCCACTATCAAAAAACCCAGGACACATTCATTTGATCCCAATAACAGATTTCATACAGTAAGTAAAATGATGGTCTGTTGCAATTAAAGTTCTCTCAAATTTTATTTTAAGTTGTTTTGTTTTTTTTTTTAGTTAAAATCCTCTTTTAAAAAGCATTATTTTCATTTGGTGATTAAAAACTATTTTAATTCTCCTGTGACTCTTTTTTGTTCTACCTCAGATTATACTATTGTTACTTGATTTACTATTTTGGGAGTTGCATGTAAAATCATTGCATGATTATACAATGTTTAATAGGGAAACACGTACATGAGAAAAGACAACTTGGGACTCCATTAACAGTCTTTTGCTCAGAAAACCAACTTCTTAGTCACAGTATCACCCAGTAAAGCAATAAATCTTTGACCCCAAGCTGATGAATTGTAGTATAGGTGTAGTACTTCCTTATTAGATGGGAGTTACGTGAGTAGGTGAGATTAAGAAGTCTTAAACTTAGTTTAAACATTCTTTTCTGGTGTGTTGGTGTGATACCCTTTATCAGGGTTTGGCAATGCAGGTACACCTGAAGAGTCCAAACTATTTATTCCAGCAAGGAAAATTGTCTTTTAACCTATTTCATCTTCGAGAGACAGGCAGGTGATAATAAACTTGGGGGTCAGAGTATAGGGTCAGCCAGTGCCTGACACCCCTGGGGCAACTGAGGTTGCTTGCTCAAGGCCTCAACGGTGACATCGGTCTGCTAGTCAGGGGATTCGAGCCAGCGACATTCTGATGATGAGCACAAAGTCCTTACCCACTGCACTACACAATACCCCATGTAATAGATAATTGCTGTGCAGGGACTGGAAAAATATGCATAAATGCAGGTAATTGCACAGTTAGATGAGATCATGAAAACATGTAATACTGCAGTATCAGGTTAAAGGTAAGCAGTAGTATGTATCTGGTATCAGCTGAAAGGTAGGTAAAGTGCAATGTGCAATTTTAATGACTGGGAGTGGGAGATAGAGAGGATGACTTGTTTATGGTGGCTACAGCAAAATTGTACACTCATCTTCACAAACTTCCATGTTAAAACCAAATTCTCTCCCAAAAACATGTAATCTTATACCTAACCAAACTTTGCCTTTAGACATTACACAGAACCCATCAAATACACAGACACTACAAAATAGCGATGGCACACTGGTGAGATGAATTTCAAAACACCACAATAAAAACCTGTTGCTGCAATGAGTAATGGTGCCATGCCCATAGCCAGATACAGACCTCTGTCATCTTTTTTTTAGATAAAAAAATATTCAAAGCTGAATACAGCTGGATAGAAAATCAGCTGCTTCGAAGATGAGTAATTAATTCGTACGATTATTTTGTTTCTGACAGGCACAACAGCCTCGGCCCACCGGTAATTCTCCTGAGTCTCCCAGTTGGCTACTCCAGGCCTGCTGGTCTGGGTTCTCATCAGCATCACAGACAATATTAGCCCTAGCTAGGCAGTGGGAGCAACCCTCAAACTAATCTAATCAAGCATACATAAAGAGACCATCGCAGCTGTAGAGGTCTGTCATAGACCTTCCACCACCAGGCGAAAAAAACAAACCACTATATGGACTTTGGGAAGGGAGAAGATACAGGTAGAAAGATGTTGCTGAATCTTGGATTGTTTGTGAACCAATCATGAAACAGAGCAGCCCGGTGAAAACGGATATTATCCCAAACAACAAGATTATGACTGCTCTGGTTGTGCTGGCTCCCTTTGGTATACATGATTTCGCAGACTATCGAGGAAAGCCTGCAAATGCATGGTGTTGTATCGACCAAGGCCGGCATGGTGGTGGAGGATCTCTCAGCAGTTGATGGCGGCATACATGGTCACATGGGGCATTCACAATGGCCTGGTGGTCAATTATGTTCCTCCCCATCTGGTAAGAAAAACCTGTTGACACCAATTTCCTAGATTGTCGACAAAAAGAGATGAAATAATCATATAGCCTGTACTATAGTACATACGACTGTATAACATAACTATACTCAGTTATTTAATACAGATGAAAAACCATACTTTCACATTTTCCAAGTGCTGGTCTATAACTATTGGAGGTCGTTTTGAAAAGATGTTTCATGGATGTTTCATCCTCAGCCATGTCAAAGAATGTGGTAAGTTGTTGAGATGCTGACTGCATCAATCCCTGATACTCAATAACTTCCTTTTGGATTTCATACAAGCAAATGATATTGTTAGAAATCGTCAATATAGTCGTACCTCTGACAAGAGCCACCTTCTTCCTCCATTAGGCGGTCATCTCTCAGTTTTGCAAAAATATAGTACTGATTAGTATACTAAAAGCCATCCATTTTACAAAATCCAAGCATACGGTAGCTCCAAATTAACAATATGTGATATGGTACAATGATACAATACAGTTTCAGACAGCATACAGTACAGTACAACAGCTACAGTACATGTCCATGCTGTAACAGCACTGCAAGGTTACAGTAGAGAGCAGTATGTAAATTGTCTATCCATTTTCCTCTCTGAAGGTCCAGATCGTAAAGGCTACTGTGAAGTGGCTCAGGTTCGGCTGCACTCTTTGCCCAGCTTCCCTTACTTACATCCCACGGACAAAGGCATGGATAACTAGAGTTGCAGAAATCTTATCAGAATCCACTTGTCTCCTTGCCCCTCTCTTCCACCTCCTCTTCCACTATCTTCAAGTCTTTGTAGATCCATTGTCCCACTACAAGTGAACCGACCCATGGCCCTATTATCTGTCTGATTGGTGTGTGAACAATTTTGCCTCTTAGTGTTTCCACCTGGGGAAATGTGTGTTAATTGGGTTCGACCTGTGATGACTTGAGTTAATGGTATCGAATGCCAGTGCTTTGTAAATGAGAACCTAGGGCATGTGGGCCTGTGATATATGGAAGGATTTGTGTGCAGCGTTTCTCACAAAAAGTTCAACAAAGCTGAATCGCATGAAAACAGGGTAATAGTTTTTATAGTTTTGAGAAATAGATCTATCTTTTGGTAGATGGCATTTTGGATGGTTTTGAATGTCTAGTTAATAGTCTAGTTTCCCAATCTTTTTGAAGGTCACTTGAGGTCATCCTCTGATTTTTGAGGCATTGTCGGATAAGTTGACGGTCATCTCTGGCATTAGAAAGTTGCTTCCGCCCTCTACCTGGCTGGTTTTTGGTCACTGCCAGTGTCTCCTGCTTCACCTTGTTCTTGTGTACTGCTGCCTTGGAATCTTTGAGCCTCGCAGTGTAGCCTTCTGCCAGCAGAACCAGGACCAAACCCAAATTTAAAAATGCAGATTTTTTTTTATAAATATAGAGTGATCTTGGTTTTTTCCAGAGATGTATAGCTTAACGTTTCTAAATTATAGTTTTTACTAGTGCTTAGACAATTTCTGAATCTATGGCTCAATTTGTGAAAACTTAACACACAAAATGGCACACACACAACATGCAAAACATCACACACTTCTTGATAAAGCAAACACTTTACCCAAGACTATTTTAACTCTTGCCAGAATGGCATTTTTGCATGCAAACTACCCACGAATATTCAATGGATAGCCCTTTATATAGGCGAACTACACACTGATGTGATAAATGGAACACACTATGAACTTGTGGCTGTTGCATTTTCAGTGTGCAGTGCACATCAGACTGTTGTAAAAGTTTACCACAACTCACACGTACATGTGTTTTCACAAATATATAGGCATTGTATGCAAATTCAGTACATATACACTATAAAAGAGAAATATAAGGGGAATTTTTAGTTTTGGCGTGAACAGTAACAGACAGTACCTGCTGTGTATACTGTCATGGAAGATATAAGAGGCTTGATACTGTGAACTAAAGGAAAAACTATGGTGCGTCCTGTCTTCTCTTTAGGTCTGGATATAGAACATCTGAAGCAATGTTCTCTCTGGCCAAACAGCGGGGGAAGTACCATCTAGAGCAGGTTTCTTCAAATCTGGACCTCAATTCCAAATCCAGGCCTTGTTTTCAGTTCTCCCAGTTAGTTAGTTTAATAATTACTGATTCTGATTGGTCTGAGGGTTCACACTTGGCTCACAGGTAAAGGAAGGCTGGAAAACCAGCAATGCTCGGACCTCGAGGACCGCGATTTGAATAATAGGGATCTAGAGTGACGTATCCAGCCCTGGCATGCTCCCACATCAATGCACAGCACGGGCCACCTCCATCCGCTGGAGAACGGGTATGCATCGGTGGAATGGCCAATCATAAATGTTCCATTGCCACGCTGAAAAGAACTCTTCAATTGGATTGAGGAACGGAAAGCATGGTGGCAGATAAAGTATCAAAAATCATGAGTGGTCAAAGAAACATTTCCGTACCAGAGCCGCACAGTGAGAACTTCCACTTCCACTGGACTGCTCCAGTCCTAAAGTCTGGTCATTAGGACTACGTTGTGTAGGGTTTTGAGGAAGGTGATGTGGTCAGTGTTGTAGGGACCAAGAGTGGCAAGGTGACGAATGATCCCATTCTGGCTAATGGCTGCACATTGTGATGTTGCCACAACATTGTCCAGGGACTTTGACAATGGCAAGGTGTCCTATGATGTTCCTTCCCCTGTGCTGTGTTTTGGGAAGGTTAAAGCCAGCTCCATCAATGTAAAGGAACTCCTGGTCCACTACAGCAACATCTAGCTCCATCACTCTTTGAAACAGGCAAGAAAGCATTAACGTATTGTTTGACAGTATGAAGAGAGATGAAGTAGTCAATATTGTGTTGCACAGTACACTGGAATACAGATCCAATGAGAGAATTGCTTACTTGTGTAATTGTGTAATTGTCTCACTGTCAGAGTTGTGCTGAAACAGTACCCTGTATAGCTTCTTCATGGATCGGTGATGGCTTTCAGGAGACAGTTGATTGTGGATAAGCTCACTGAATGGAAGCGTGAGAACCTTATGTTGTCAGTAATGATGTGCCGTTGCAGTGGTCGTAGAGTTGTGTGATTGTCTGATCTGAAGATTATGATGTGCTCTTCCTGCTCTGGAGTGAACAGCAGTCTTCTTCCTTCAGCAGGGGGTTGCCTAGTAAGTCTGCAAAAAACATTATGCAAATAGTTTTTTTGTACGAAATATGGGGAAGGGGGGCAGTGGTTAACACTGTTGCCTCACACCTCTGGGACCAGGGTTCAAGTCTCCAACAGGGCTTTGTGCATGGAGTTTGCATGTTCTCCCCATGTCATGGTGGGATTTCCTCCAGGTACTCTGGTTTCTCCCCTCTTCCTCGAGTCCAAAAACATGCTGAGATACCAAATTGTTCATGTGTGCCATGCAGTGAGTTGGTGCCCCATCCTAGATAATCCCCTACCTCGTGAGGTCAGTTACATGGTATAGTGGATAGGTGTACTTACCTATTCTCATTTACAGTTTTTTACAATTGCTTAAGCACAATATTGAAAACAGTGCTCATTTTTAAAAAATCACTTAATACAATTCACAAAACCACAAACCAAAAGAGCAAAACACCTCACACATCCTGCAAAATTCCCATGCCTGAATTTTTTGCTCTATCCAACTAAACACTGCTATGTATAATCATAAACACTTATCTTTTTAGGGATTATCATAACTGTGTATGCTGAGAACTGTACAAAGAGATATTGTTCAAGTTTACAGACATGTATGCAGAAACAAATTTGATTGGATAAAAGCTTTTATTTTAGGCCACAGCAAATAACACAAAAATTCATAATGTATTCTACCGAAATCCCAGCTTTGGGAAAAAAAAACATTGATGGAAAAAAACAATACCTAAAAGGTCCCTAAAAGATAACCCAAAGGCTATTGTGTGTGTGCCCTGCGATGGGCTGGCCCCCCCATCCTGGGTTGTTCCCAGCCTCGTGCCCGTAGCTTCTGGGATAGACTCCGGACCCCCCATGACCCAAAAAGGATAAGCGGTTTGGAAAATGGATGAATGGATGTTTATCCCTGTGAGAAGTGGGTGTTGCCAATTGGTAAATAAAGCTCCACAATTTGCTTGGTGTTACTTCCCAAAGGACAGAGGTGGGTAATTCAGGTCCAGAGAGTAAAACTCCAGACCAGGATTTTGTTTCAACCAACCAGTTGAGTACTCTGTGACTGTGACTCTTTATGCTGGTTGGTTTATGCTGTGGATATGGTCTTTTGCATGCGGAGTTGCAAAATTGGAAACATGCTGCATAAGACTATAGTAAAAAAAGTTGTTTAGCAAAAATGTTAGCTAAACATCCTTACCATGACATTGAAATTTGACTCGGCTACGGCACTGTCATCTGGCACTTATTCTCTGTTCTAGTCACTCATTGGCTTTTTCACATGTTTAGAAACACGTGAACAATTTGGTGTCATTGTGTTTAAATGTTGACTATTGTGTGCTGTCTGTAACTCTTGTAGCCTGTGTTTTCCATTTCACCACAGTGCAAAATGTGTTTTGATGAATGAGAATGAGTTTTGAAAAAAGGGTGAGTTTAACTACATCTGTCTAACTAGTGAATATTGTGTAAAAAAAATTTCAAATGAGTGACTGATTCAGCAAATGAATTTTTGCAAGTGATAGTTTCAAAATTGCCAACTTTGGTCTGCTGGCATGAGATTTGGTGAAAAACAAACTGGTACATAAAAAACAATTGCACAAACTATCCTTGAGAATAATCATTAAGTGTGTGTGTGTGTGTGTCTATATATATATATATATATATATATATATATATAAAAATATATGATGCTTTGTGATTTAATTTACTGAAAGGATTAATCATTTAACAGGAAAGCCTTAAATAGTATTGAAAAGCTTATTTCATCAGTCCTGGTGAATGGTATATAATGAATAAAGCTAATGATAATTCCTGACTGAAGATGGACCACAAAGTTTTGGGTCCACTGGGAAACGATGTGTAGATTCTGAAGATCCACAAAAGACTGAAAATGAGGGGCACTGGCTAAATGTCAACCGAAGACCGGATCTGAGGCCTAGAAAACTGAAACAAAAAGGCAAGAATGTTTCTTTTCTTTTAATAAAGATACACAAACCTCATACACTTTCCTTGCCCATCCCTCAATTATTTCCCTGCATAGAGACCTTAAAAGTATTCTCCAGTTGTTCCTTTCACTGAGCAACTCGACACTTTGGGAATAGTGCACCACTAGTTCAGATGTTGTCTCTCACTCATATATTTTAGGCTTCTTCTTGTCCTTTATGGGGAATAGTAGCTCACCTGCATGTCTTTGCTGAGATGTGGATCTCTGGGAGTCGTTTGTGACATGTGCCCCCATGCGTCATTTCTCTGTCCATAGAATGACTGGTAGACAGAATCGGGCCTTTTGTGGGCGAGATACTGTTGGGGCCCATAATAGGAAGATCCAGTGACTGAACCAGAAGACATACTTTGTAAATGACGCTGTGCTTCAAATTGCCAACCATCAAAGCTATTATTATGGGAGGGGAGCTTGGTCTCTGGAGAAAAAGAGACCAAAAGGGACACAGGTTTATGGTCAGTGTTGCACTTATAGAAATACTGGTGGTCTATAGACACAAATTAATTATAAATTCAGAAGCCTGTGAAAACGATAATTTAACAGTACTTAATAAATTTAAATGCCTGTTTAACTACCTGTTGAGAACTCTCTGGAGAATCCCACCGGTACCGCCCCCTTATGAGAGGAAGACCAATGAAAATCATCCTCTACCCATTCTGTCATCTGGTCATCTTTACTGCCCTTCAATCTGGTGCAGGGGTAGGCAAGCAATGGGAAAAAAAGCATAATTTTCAGATTTGCCCATTCAGCAAAACTTACAGCCCTTTCAGAAACTGGTAAATGAGCAGTTAATTTGACCTTAATATCTCTGTCCATCATAAGCTCATACTGAGGGCAATCCAATTTCCAGTAGCAAATTCAATCCCTCCAACTGACCAATCACACTGTATGACAAATGTCTACTGGCTGACAAGGACAGAAGACTCACATCCTGCCTACAATACTTCCTGGACTGTACTAACTGGAATATGGGTACTTTTAAGGTTATGTCTTGAAAATTAAAATACCATATTCAGTCATGTCAAGCATTTGAAGGGATGTGCTTTTCACATTTAAAAGTATGATTCTTTAATTACAAACAAACTCTCACCTTTTAGTCTGTTTTCCCTTATAGACCATGCATATGATAGAAGTCATCACAAAGATAACAAGCACTGCAGCTAGAACTCCAGTCACAGAAAACACAGCAATCTTCTGGATGGGTCCATAACAGTCTGTCTCAGAGTACCAGTAACCTTCTGGACATCTGCAGCAGGGGACAGAGCCACCGATCAAGTGCCCGCCCTAGGCTGGAGAGCTACTTGTTATCAGTTTGAAGCTTTTCAAGGACATTATGGAAAGATATGGTAGAAATTACATGATTATATGAAGTCAATTACTAGGTAAAATTCGGTAAAGTGCTGTCAACAATTCAGCTCACAGATATTCTGAACAATTATTTGTAATCTTTATCTTTTGGAACATTATTTTTGCATACTTCAGTTATATTATATATTATATAATACTCAGTACAGCTGTAGTCCATGGAATTAAACTGCACTAGTAGAATACGTTTTTTTCTGCTGGTCACAGTATGAATATAAGTGCTATTAGAACTTACTTGCAGGTTGGGCCGGTGTTCATGATTCGACAGTCGCCTGTGTTGCAGTTCTTAGTGTTGTTATGTTCGCTGTCACACAAAGAGACACAGGTGATTCCTCCTGTCTCCATGATTGCAGTGTAGTAATTCCTGTACTCCTTGGGAATGTGCTGATCACAAATCACTGTAATTCAAAGGAAAGGAGAAAAGTCTTAATCTGATTTCATATTTCTGCGTGTACCTTCTGTCTTGCTCTCCGTTGTGCTTCAACTAAAAATCACTTCCTATAGAGTGCCATCTATGCCAGTGTCATATCACTGTAATCCATAAAATTTTCGATAACTACTTATTCAGTTTGGGAATAGGCTGAGCTTGGAATCTACAGAGTTGGATAATTCAGGTCCAAAGAATAAAAGTTCAGACCAAGATTTTGTTTCAACCAACCAGTTGAGTACGGAACTGGTTGGTTGAAACAAAATCCTGGTCTGGACTTTTACTCTCTGGACCTGAATTACCCAACTCTGGAAACCTATCCCAAAAAAGCACGGCATGAAGCAGGCTTCATACTAGATTGGATATTAGCCTGTGCACTGTGTGCAATTAGAGACAGTACATTTTCATAAACAACCAGTTTTTGCACTTGGACGGTAATCTGCTATAAAACGTTGAGGTCTGAAGCCTGCAAAGGGAATGATGGTAATTTAAGTTGATGAAACAGTTTTTATATTTTTACACAGCAATCTCATGATGTAAAGGTATATAACTTTACTTCTGATTTACCCAGTACAATATGCATGACTTGTAATGTGCATTATTACATTCTTCTTAACCTAGTTAGACATTCTTCTAACAGAATGGGCATTTGATTATATGGTCATCTAAGACGACAATCCGCGCCTATAATAGAATGTGAAAACTTAGATTATGTAATGTAGTAATATTTATGTGAAAATACTGACACCTTGTCTAAGGTCTGCCCCTGCCTTGGGTCAAGTGGTGGGAAAAGTGCCCAGTTGTCATACTTAAGTAAAAGTTCAAATACCACCCCAAATGTTAGTCAAGTAAAAGTAAAAATACCATCCAGTAAAATACCACTCAAGTAAAAGCAAAAAAAAACAAACTACTAAAGTAAAAGTAAAAAAGTACTTGGTTAAAAAGTACTATACTGTACATTAAAATCTGTTGACCTTATAAAAAGCAAACAACATCAAAATGTATTCAAGACAGGTTTGAATATAACACTGTAAGCTACATTGCAGCACAAGATGGAATATTCAGTCTCATATTTTCTTTTAATTCAGAAAAAGTGGTGAAACTTCCCAAGTTTGCTGACACAGATTAACGGAGTAACTTTTTGATTCTGTGAAAGACGAAAGATTGATCCACAGGCCAGTTTTAATAATGGATTATAAACATTTTGCGGCCTGGTACTTGTAAGTCTCTTATAAGTGATAAATGAGGCAACAAAAACCCTGGTCTACAACTACGAAAAAATGGCTCATTGTCCAATGCAATCAATACCAATATTTCAGTAGTAGCTCTATCATACATCTGTACATATTGTTTGTTTGTCCTGCAAAAGAAAGAAAGAAAGAAAGAAAAAGATATTGCTCCAAAAATTGTGATTCACATTTTACCCAGAATCACGCAGGCCCAGGTACACTGCATGCAATAGTTCTTCGTAACTGGGTGAGTAACGATGGTCACGCTGAATTATCACAGTCAGAAGTCCTTATATGGCTCAGAAATGTAACAAAGTGAAAGTAAAAGTTGCAGCATCTTATACTCTACTAAAAAAAAAAAGTGCAGTTATGAAGTATTTATACTTTGTTACTTTACAACTCCTATTGTTCCTATGCTGCTCGGTATAATATCTAGCTACTAATTAGTTGGAAGATGGGTGGATGGATGGAGAGATGTCAAGAATATACAAGATCTGTGAAACGGTAGAATTATTTGGTTACTTTTCAGGTACATTCACTGAACTGTGGGTTCTCTTGTAAGCATATCTTGTGCATTGACTTACATTGTGGGGAAAATGTCGGTTTCACAACAGTTGGGGTCTCAAGAAATTCAATCCCTGAACATTCTCCTGAAAAGCAGCAGAAATAAGCAAGGAGTCTTGTTACTGAAATCATTCACAATGCTGGATTCCATTTGTCAGTCTGTTAAATCTATGTAAACTACCTGCCATGCAAAGCTTCAAAGCTTCCACAATTTCTTCGGGAATCTGATTGACTGCCTCGGTGATGTTTGGTCCATTCGTTATATTTACTACCACTTCATGCTCCACGACGACGCTGCCTTGGCTGTGGGATTTGCCAGGTGATGGGGACATAGAATGAAAATGGACAGTAAAACAAACCTCTAGAGTAGACTGTACTAACCAGTCAGTACAGTCTGGCAAAATATCAATCCAGGTGGCACTTGTGGAATTGTGTGTTTCATTAACCTGCATTTTTACGCAGGGCATTAACCTCACCTGATTTTTATGATATTCAGTCTCATGTAATTTTCAACTTTTCGACGATACACTAATTCCATCTGCAAGAAAACAAGAGGAGATTCACTGTTAACAAACTGCAAAGTTCACTTGGTTCATTGACTCATTCGCAGTCGCAACCAGCAATTCTCATGTAGCATTACACCACAATAAATAAATGCATCTCCAAAAGAAATTAAATCATGTGGATGTCATTTGTAATACAGCAGTTTTGTAACACTGCTAAAAGGTGTCATTAAAGATGTATCAATTTACTGTCTTTTCAGAGATAAATGTTTAATTCACAGCCTTTGCTCTTTAAATTTATTTACCATAAAACATTTAATTTATTAAGACTATGTTAGCAATTATGAATGAAACCCTGTTTCCTGATACTAACACTGACTGCCTTATCATGTATGTACGTAGCCACTTTCATCCAATTCTGTGGTGGAATTTACTGGTTAAGCTAAGGAACAGCTTCTTCCCCACAGCTGTCAATGTGCTCAGTAGTACCTTACAGCATTGATTCTCTGCCTGCCCACACGACTTGATACCATTACCTTCACTGAACACTCTTCTACTGCACATTTGTTTGCACCAACTGCTCATTTTGCACATCATGCATCTCCACTTTGCACTTGTATTATTGCATATTGTCATATTTCCTGGCACAATCATTCTCACTGTACTTCCTGTCTGCACTTTAAGCTATAGGCACTACCTCATGTATATTTCGCAAAGAACCATTCTTTACACTTACATTAATATCTATAATTTATTATAATTTACTCTGTGTGTGTAGGTGGGAACAATCAGGAGTCGACATGAGGTAATGAGGGGGCGTGGCACACACGAGGATCGTGACAGTGTGTGTGTGTGTATTTAATTTGCACCTAGTTCGATGTTAGATGCTTCACTGCATTTCACTGGTTCTGTACCTGTACTCAGGACACTGAAAATAAAGTTATGGTCATTCAAACCTATATACTGTAATAACAAATACATGTAATATGCAACTGGGTCTCCATGAAATGTTTTTCTCGTTATAAATGTCTCATTATAATGAGAAACAAATTTTATTTCATTATGGTGGCAGCAATATTCTGCAGTACCAGCAAGCTATGGCGCTACTATTATAATCATTTTCCACTTTACCAGCAAGTGAAGTTGCTTTGCTACACTACACAGCAGTCAGTCACTCTCTGTCAAAAACATACCTTATTTGTGAAGTCCTGGACAAACTCTTTGTATTGAAGTGACTGTGGATCGGTGTATTCTTCATGAAATGTTTCATTAATTTTTACTTTAACCTCCGTTGCCATGTCAGTGGAATCTAATATAAAGATGAATAATAAAGTAATATAGAAGCTATTCATTAGACACAAATTCAATCAACTTAACCAAACTAAGATCTCCTATAAAACTATTACATTCTCAGTGCACTGGATAGAGACTTCTATTATTTACCTGGAATAGTGTCAGATTTTTTATTCAACCAATGTAAGCATTTTATATGAAATTTATATAAATATTTATAAAATCAAATATTTCTGTATTTCACTAGCTGGGTGCATAAAAAATTAAGAGAATAAGAAATTGGAATAGTCTAAATATATATAAAATATATATGTATACATATATATTTGTGTGATCACTTACCAATTGTCACTAAAGAACTATACGATTCACATTTACTTCCTTCAAAATTGCCAAGGCAATGGCATACACCATTTATAAATGTCCCACCATTCAAGCACGGTGGAGGAGTAGGCAGTGGTTTTGTTGTAGATATAATTCCAGTTGTAAAAGTGAGCTTGGTAGTTGTATGCATTTTAGGAGTAGTGACTTGATCAGTCGTATTTGATGCCATAACTGTTGTGTCATCAGTCATGCTTACAGTTTGAGAGCTTGTGGCAGCTTGTTGTATCGTTGAAGGTCCAGGAGTGGTGGAAAATAGCTCAGTTGTGTTGGCTGGTTGAGAGCCTATGGCAGTAATGTCTGTTGACATCACACCCGAGGTTTGCGCTTCAGTTTTGAAGGTGCTTCCCTCAGAAGCACTGGTGTGGTCAGTAAGTCTGGAGAATGGTGAGATAAATTCTAATGACTGAGTAGGACTTGTAGAAGAGTCAGTGGTTGTTTGGGGAACAATTGAGGTTGATGTCATTCCAGATGTTGAAAATGTTGTGCCCTCCATGGCGAGTAACTTGTAAGCTGTCACATCTGACATTGCAGTTGCTGTGCCTTCCTTGGTTGTGATGGTGATACCTGATTCTTCATCAGCCATAATTTTGGAAAATTCATTTGATGCTGTTGATGAATGAATTAATTTTTTATTCATTTTTCACTTGACGAGGTATTAATATATTGCATTGCTGTCTATAATATTAGTAAGATTATAATACTTCTTTTGTCAAAATGCCAAATCTGTACTAAATTATTGATGATCATTGTGTTGAATTCCTTGATTCTTTGCTTTTATTACTCAGTATTATTTTCCCACCTATTTTGGAAACTTAATTTTCATGGTCTACATTAGAAATGAAATGATAAAAGACCTAACAATAAACAAAAATGATTACACAGGACTATATAGTTTGTCCTGATGCTTGTATGATTCACTGAGTACTGTAACCATTGTCCAATAACTAAAGGTACTTTTATATATTACGTATTTAATATGACACCTCCTTTTTTCAAAAGCTTAATCTTTTTTAGCAACATTATTTATCCAATTGTATTTTTTCAGGAATATACATAACATCTTACCTTTTGCTGCCCAGAGAAGCATCAAGGAAAGCAATAATCCTGTACCACCAAACTCTCCCATTACTGCCAAACTGGGGTCCTTTTCTCTCGATGGTTTGTGGTGCTGTTGCTGGTTAACAAAGCTAAACTTGGACCTTAACTTGTGATTTTTAATTTTTTTTTATTATTAAACGTTAAACATTAACATTCTCTCAGTGGCTTGGAAAGCCATCCTTCTATGGCCAGGACTTTGATATTAGATATGACACAAAAGTAAAGATAATGTAACTAATTTGCAGAATGTTATAAATACCAAACCAAAAAGTACATAATATGGCAATGAATAAAGAACAAATGATGGTATATGATAATAGATATTACCTATTAAAGACTTAAGTTAAAATAAAAAAAAATTGGTAACACTTTACAATATGGTTCCTTAGTAACTTAGGAGTAAGTCATTTACTACTGAAGTACAAATCATTAACAAATATAGTAGCTACTTGAGATAAAAGCTTTAGTTATTGGACAATGGTTACAGTACTCAGTGAATCATACAAGCATCAGAACAAGATAAAATATCATGTTTGTTCATTAACACTTGTGTTATTCTTTACTTGTTTCTTCAGTTGTTCACAAAAGTTTATAAAATTAACACATATAGTAACAAATATAGCACCTGCTTGAAATAAATCATGATTCATTCCTGATGAATGAATATAAGATCAATATTTCACTTTTTGTTATTCATTATTTCTTCTCTCATTAGATCACAAAGGTTTATTTATAGATTAATAAATATTGTAATTAATAATGTTATCTGCTGCTGTACTAACATAATCACCCACCCATCCATCCATCCATTTTCTGTAACTGCTCCTCCTATTCAGGGTTGTGGGGGCGGGGGTCCTCAGCATGTTATTGGACTGTGTGGAGCACCCAGAGGAAACCCCACAATGACAGGGCGAGAACAGCAAACTCCACACACAGGGAGTCATGGCAGAGACTCTATCCCTGGTCCCAGGAGTGTGAGGCAACAGTGCTAACTACTGCCTACCCCAAATATGAATGAGCCTACATGGCATGTGTTCTGAATTGATGGATTAACTAGATATAAAAGCAGACACAGGTCGGTTGCACGTTCTCCCACTTACTTCGATTTCTGTCCACAGTCCAAACACATCCATGTTTGGTGAATTGTTGTTCATCATTAAAGATAAACCCAGACTCTTAGATAATTAATGAATTGTGATGGGTCATTTATTTCAAGCAGTTACTGTATTTATTACTCCGTCTGTTAATTCTATAAATCTTTGTGAACTACTGAAAGAACAAATAACGAATAACACAAAGTGATATGATGATCCCATGTTTGTTCATTATTAATAAATAATAAACAATAATGAATAACAAAAAGTTAAATACCCATCTCATGTTTATTCATCATTAATGAATCATAATGCATGTTTTATCACAAGTAGCTACCATATTTGTTCATGGTTTGTTTTTGAGTAGTAAATTATTTACTACTAAGTTAAGGAACTATTGTAAAGTGTTACCAAAAATGTTATTATTGTTGAAACATTTCTTGAATATTTCATGAATTTCAGTGTTTTCACCAAGAAATAATAATAGTAATTGATACTTTATTGATCCCCATGGGTAAATTGTTTTTACACCTCCCTCAACTTGCTCTTTGTAGAGTAAGTTGTCCACGAAGGGCAGTCACCTGTTGGGGAGCTGTGGGTGAGGCTGGGTTTGAAACGGTGCCCTTGTAATTACAGGTACACAGGCTTAGCCCACTGAGCCACACGCTGCTTATATTGAAAATATAAGAAAGCTTATATTTTCAATGAGGAACCTACTGATTAAAACAAAGCTGTACCTTTCCCAGACAAACCACTTTCAGTGCTGAATTTAATACACTGCCCGGCCAAAAAAAGTCGGCATTTAAATTTTCCGTTGGACCGCCTTTAGCTATGATTATGCCGCACATTTGTTATGGCATTGTTTCCACAAGCGTATGCAACATCTCACCCTTTATTTTCATCCAGATTTGCATTAATTTCTCACCAAGAGTTGAACCACTCCATAAAGCCTTCTTCAGCACATCCCAAAGACCTTCAGTGAGGTTAAGGTCACAACTCTGTGTTGACCAAGTCATGCGTAAAAATGATTCCTCATGCTCCCTGAACTGCTCGTTGACAATTCGAACCCATTGAATCTTGGCATTCTTGTCCTGGAATATGCCCATGCCAACAGGGAAGAAAAAAATCCATTGATGATGGATGGAGGTGTAACCTGGCCATTCAGTAGATTCAGGCACTCAGCTGACTTCATTTTATTGTTGCATAACATTGCAGAGCTGTAATAATGATCCAGTCATTGGCTCTTAAGTATTTGCTGATATAAATTCAAATGGTGACTTTTTTTTGGCCAAGCAGTGTATTTATTTATACATCCATCTTCTGCCTATTAGATGATACAGGGTCAAAAACCAGCAGCCTGTCCCACAAAGCAAAAACTGCAAGGCTGGATAATAATCCATCATAGAACATGCATACCCCAGGACAGTTGTTCCCTGTATGTTTTTGGACTGCAGGAGGAAATTCAAAATGTGCAAACTCCATACGCCTACACAGAACAGGGGCGAGATTACAGCCTTCAAATCTTGGAGTATGAAGTGGTAATTCTACTGCCTGAGCCTATTTGCTGCCATAATTTTGTGATATTCAAGTTAGAGAACCATATCATAGTTTTTCCTTTATTTTAGTTTAGAACTTGATCAACTGACAGACTACATTTAAAAAAAAATGTCACCATTGGAGATATGGAGATGAGTTTGGGTAGTGAGTGAGAGCCCAAAGGGGCTGTTGGTGGTTAAAGAAGCTGAAGAACTGTACGTGGGAAGATGGCAGCCACCTGGAGAAGGATATTACACCTGGTCCATGGTCCAAGGGCAATGGTTCCAACAGGTCGGTCATCTGGTGGACTGGATTAGGGTATTTGACCTTCTCATTCTACCTTTATTCTGCAGTTGTGGTTGTATCTTGCCGGCAGTTGATAGTCTTCATCGGCTGCCATCTATGTGTTGTTAACATTCTGGGTTCTGCCTGAGTAAGCAATTCTTCACCAGCGTGGTGCTGAAGTCAAGGTGACAGGCTGGCACCGCTGTCGAGGTAGCTGTGTTATCACAATATCAAAACTTTTACAAATAGAGATCTGATTAATATCCACTCAGTGTCAGAAAATTACTTACATAACCCTATATTTTCAAGTAAAATAATACTCGTTCTACATTGAGCTTCTATTACTTATGCTGAGAACAAAAAGTAAAAAAAATATTATGTATGTGCCAACCTGATTGCTCTGTCTTTGTTTGCTGATGTGCATAGATTAGCACCTTGCTTTTTGGTCTCAATAGGGAGTGAGGACTGGGTGGTTTCTGTCATTACTGTATTTCATTTAATTACAAGAGTCCACACAAGGCAGGATTTGTGTCTTATAAAGTAATATAACAACTAGTAACAACAAAGTAATACAGTAAAATCCTACAAATGACCCCCAAAGAAATGTAAAGTATGAAGTGAGATTTACTGTTTTACAATGGAAAAAGCCTCTAACTGCACTAAGTAGCTCAGCAGAATTCATACTGTAAGTACAACTTATATGACCTACAGCTTAATTTCAGCTCTTAGTACAAGTAACAATGAATGTTCCTTATGAGGTTGTACTGGAAAGGACAGACTCCCCAGTTATGGAAAATAAGTTTATTTTTCTTTGATACTTTGGAATATCAAGAAACTCTGCAGTTGAACTCCCCTGTAGTTCAACGACACAGAACATGCACATAAATTGTACCCAGTGGTGTCACTAGGGCCAATCATTCAAGGCACAAGCCTCAAATCATTCGCTGTTGGGCTCTTAAGCCCCAGTTGCCCCAGGGCTGGCCCTGCATTCTGAAATCTGTGTCGTTTTAATAAAAGTGTGTATTAAATAAATAATATCAAACTGAAGCATTTGAGCCTGAGACATTGAAAAATGTGGATACTCGCATGATTAGAGGCAGTTCACAGTTATAATCTATTGTTTCAAAATCAATTACATGGTTTGTATTCTAGTTCATTTAATAACAGCAGCCTGTATTTTCTTTAGATTAAATTGTACTATGGACTGCTGTAACCCTCATATATGTTAATGTTTTCTATTTAAGAAATTGCGTAACTGGGCTGATACTGTAACAGTGATAATTTATGTCACACAGCAACAACCTCCTGTATTTGTAAGACAAGGACACAGTTTATATTATGATTACACATTTGATTGATTCATTCTTATGTAATTCAGTGTGGGTTCCATTCATCTTGACATAAAAAGCAGTGATCTAACAAACAAAATTAGAAAAGTGTTAATCTGCATGATGAGTAGTAATATCTGAGGCTGCAGAATGTTTTGCAAAAAGGACAGCAGAAAGCTCCGTAACTTTATTCAATCTCTGTCAAATGTTTTAAAATGATATATAGATAGTGAACAATTTATATAAATATATATATATATTTATATATACACACATAAAATTATAAAAAGTATAATTCAATAAAACTACCTAGTTCCCTAAATAAAAACAACAGCCCCATCTCATGGTTACTAGAACCCTGTCCCCTATGTTATAAGAGTTACATAGTAGTATTATATGACATATTCTACAAATTAAGTAAATAAGATATAAATAAGAAAATATTACTTATTTTTCAAAACATTTACATAAGTAAGTACTATTTGCATAACATTCTTTTAAACTGTGAATCTATCTTCATTTCTTTTCTCTCAGTCAAATCCACGACAGCCATTGCTTTACACTACAGAGCCTCATTAAATTAAGTATAAAGTGCTTCATACGTTGACATTATTTAATTCATTTTATAACACTGCCTCCCAAAATGGAACAATATTCTCTTAAGTTCTGTTACATTAAATATAAAAGGGAAGCATTTCAAAGATTAGTAGCTCTTTCCAAATTCCACGTGGGAAAAACCTCTGGCCAAGTGTGTGATCCAAATGCACTTTTTTTACTTAGGTCTTGTAATTATTTGTATTATCTTTTTTTGGAGATTTTGTGTTCTGCTTTTAGGCTCCGGGAGGTCCACAGTAGGCCCAAAAGATGATGAGAGTAGTTCATTAAATCTCAGAGGAGGACAAGATCTGTGGGTGACTGATCCTCAGCTGGTGTATAATGAAACAGAATTTACATGAGCAAATAAATTAAAGTTGATACATTATGTTTTATATTAAATTACACTTACTCACAAACATATATCAACATGTATATGTTGCATTCTATTGTAAGGCTGATTTCTGCCTTTGCTATACCAGGAACTCACCTGCATATGATTGTCCCCATTTTGGATGAACTGTGACATTCTGGAAGTAGTCTGATATGTGCTTTCTGGCCTGCTGTCCATTCCTGTGTAGAAGGACTGATAGTCATAATGAACAGAGTCAGGCCTTTGGCATGAGAGACGCTGCTGAGGGCCATGATAAGGAGACTGAGTGCTTGATCTTGAAGAGGTAGGCCAGAAATCACTCTCCTGTTCATATTGCAAATCATCATATCCTCCATTTGGAGAGGCAAAGATGTTTTCTGGAGGGAAGAGAAAGTGATTTTAAGCATTCCTTGAGTGAAGCCTGTATACGCAAATGAATAAGGCTGTATAAAACCTGAGACACTAACAAAGTCAGCACATCAATATACCTATAGAATTGCTTGCAGAAGAAGGCCACTCAAAGTCCCCCTCCAGCCACTGATTCAGCTGATCAATGCTATTGTCCTTCATCCTGATACAGTTGTGGGGCAGGGTGGGGGGGGGGAGAAGAAGACTCTTTATGTTTTATTTTACAGCAACGGTCCCCTACTTATGTTATTCAGGGCTAAAAACCGGATTCTCATTTAGAGATATGGTTACTGAGAAAAGGTAACATTACATGTTAAATATCCCTTCTGCATTCTATGTCTATAGAGGTTGTAATATTTTTTTACCGTTTAGATTGATGCTTTATGCAGATCACGTAGACAGCAACAGATACAACAGACACCAATAGGATACCAGCTAGTGTCCCAACCCCTGCAAACACAGCATTCTTTTGGATGGGTCCATAACAATCAGCCCCAGAGTACCAGTAATCTTCCAGACATCTGTAGGGGAGAGAGGCACAAACTAAGGAACAAATTTAAAAAATCATGAAGCATTCAGATACATGGACAGCAGCAGTTTCTCTATAATTTGAATATAAAGAACACTACTTTCAGTAAGGTATTACATATTGAGACATATATGACCCTAACATCAAGTTATCAGCAATCCTAGTAGTAAATAAATGCATTGCTTTTCAAACATTAATACAAACATATTTTTAAAAAATAAAAAAGTGCTCTAAACATTATTATAAATAGGTGGTATTAGAACTCACTGGCAGGTTGGGCCAGTGCTCAAGATTCGACAGGTGCCACCATTGCAGTTCTTAGAGGTGGTGTGGACGCTGTCACACTGAGAGATGCAAATGATTTTGTCTGGGCTCTGGAGTGCAATATAGTAACGGCTGAGCTCCTTGGGGATGTTCTGATCACACACCACTGGAATTTAAGGAGAAAAGTGAGAATCTGTCCTCTGTAATCTCTTTCCGACGTACATTATTTCCTGAACCAAATCAGGGGTAGTATCTGGGGTAGTTCCAAACATAAATAAAATCATAAAATTGTCTCCCAGATTATTAAAATGGTAAAACTATTATGTCCTTGGTCTCTCTGCTTTTCTGCATTTCTCACTCTTAGTCTCTTTCTAGTTTCTTTGCAGCCAACTTACATTCTGGATAAAATTTTGGTTTCTCCACAATGGGGTCTCCGACAATGTAATTCTCATAACATCCAAGTGAACCTGCAACCACAACAACAGCAAATATGCACATGGATGTTATGCAAAAAATTTGTCATGCTGAACCACTTAATAAAGCAGTTATTATGAATGCAGATGAAGGTTCTAGTACCTTTTGTGCAGTTTTGTGCTGCCGCCAGAGCTGCAGCAATCTGTTTTGGAATCTGACTCACAATTTGTGTGGTATTCTGATCATTTGATATGTTTACTATTACTTCGTGATCCACCAGCACACTGCCTTGCCTAGGGACATTGGGAGGGACAAAGAGAACAGGATTTAAAAATATCGATTATTGGGATATTGGCAGTTACATATTTTGTTTGTGACCTTTACACCTGATAAATACTGTCTCCAGTTGCATTTATCTGTTAGCCTGTATTTACCTGAGTTTTATAATAGTCATTGCCATGAAATTTTCCACTGTTTTTCGATACACTTGTTCCATCTAAAACACAAGAAAAAAGGTTTAATATTAAATTACGGTCCTCAGCTTCAGTATATTTTATTGCTTTAACAGGTATATAATTTCTAGATATGGATAATGCATAATTTAGCTAAAAATATTTTAAAATGTGAAGATGCATGTATGCTACTATGCATATTGATTTTGTTGTTGTATGTTTCAGATTGTACAGAATGGGATTTTGGTAGTTTAAAAGTCCACTCCTGTTACCTAGGGCATATTTGTACCCTAGCTTTCTGTCCTCTGCTGCCTGGAATAGACCCTAGGTCAGGGGTGCCCAACTCCAGGCCTGGAGGGCCAGAGCCCTGCATATTTTTGGGTTTCCCCTCATTTAACGCACCTGATTCAACTCCTTGTGCTAATTACCACACAGCTCTTGAGCTGAATCATTTATGGTGGAACAGGGAAAGAACTAAGCTCCGGCCCTCCAGGACTGGAGTTGGGCACCCCTGTCCAAGGTCATCCTGGGACCTTGATCAGAATAAAGACTTAACTTCACATAAACCCTTGAACTTCACATTAAAGACCCAATACAATGATTCCATCCATCCATCTATTTTCTGAAACCACTCATCCTATTGCAGGGCACACTCACACACACACACACACCATTGACTCACACCTATGGGCAATTTGGTAACTCCAAATGTTTTCAGATTGTGGGGGGATTGGAGGAAACCCCATGACAACACAAGGAGAACAAGCAAACTACACACAAATGGAATCCTGGCAGAGACTTGAACCCAGGTCCAGGAAGTGTGTGGTGACAGTGCTAACCACTGCACCACTGCACTGCCCCCTACATAGATATACTCAATATACTGCTTCCTGTTATTCCAGAAACTAGATTTACCTCAAATACTAGGTACTGTTTAAATTGAACTTAATAGAAATTAACAAGTCTTTCTTACAATTCTTGTGAAGTTTCTAACAAATTCTTTGTACTCCAATGACTCTGGATTTTTGAAAGCTTCTTTAAATGTTTCATTAATTCTGACGGCAACCCCAGTTGCCACACCAAAGGTATCTATATGAGGGGAAAAAAGCAAGAGACATGTTTTTTTCTATGTACATATACACCATAAACACACCGTGAACACAAATTTGGAATTATCATGTTTGTAAACAATTTTTAATATGTAAGAAAAGTATTATATAAAACTTTAAAATTCAAAGAAACTTAAGGATTAATAATATTCAAATGTTAGATAAAATATATAAATACACATTAGGTACCAATAATGTTCTAAGTATTGAATACTAAACAGATATCAAATTGCAAATAAGATGCAGGATGTAACCTATGCAGCCATGAAGTTTCAGGGGGTTCATTTTTAAAGGCTTCATAGGAACAAAATAGCAGCAAAAATGTATGCGCACATTTATACGAAGATTTTGGTATTTAAATAAATAAAACATACCCTAAAAGGTTCACACATTTACAAATGGTCTAGAGCAGTCCTATGAACTATGTAATGGAGGAAAGAAAAAGCTGATGTCTATTGGTCAGACAGAAATGTGCATCCGCGTTAATAAATATAGAAACATTTGTATTATATCTAATATACAAGTAACATTCAGCATTTGTGTTTATTTTTAAATGAATGACTTTAATTATACAGTAGAATCTTGAAAATCAAACGCGCCTCTTAACTCGACCAACTCGGGCATCGAACGGGTCTGTTGGATATTTTTCGACTTGTACCTCGACCGTTCCTGCTAAAACTTGTACGGGGCGAGACGCATTCAACTCTACTAATACGGACCTCCAACGGGTCCGTTAAGAAAAATCTAACGGCAACTCGACTGACAACTCTGAACAGGACAAAACAGAACAGACCTGCTAAAACTTGTATGGATAGAGACACGTCTCTGAATTCAATATTCTTTCCCAGGACACGAATGGTCCCGTTTTTTTTTTTTTTTTTGAAAATGTACAATTATTCCAGAATTTCGTAGTTTGAAATAAAACCTAGCTAGGTTTCCTTCTCTTGGTATTCTCTTTTGTTCCTGGTTATGTTTATATGTGCAATCCTCTGTCCCTAAACGATTAAAGACAGATACAACACAGTAACGATTATAGCCATGTCTATACTTTTACTTTTACTCAGTTAGCAGCATAAATACGAAGATTACCTATTTACCTAGCAACTGCGCGGGCTATCGGTCTGCTACGTGCATCCACGTCCACGACCCCATCATGACTTAAAATTGCTAGCTAAATCACGGGCGTAGCCGCCATTAAATCTGAGAGGGACGTGTACCCCTCACATTTCATAATTATTCGTTTGGACCACCCCTCATTTAACATAAAATATTAGTTCACCCAGCGTTGTTTCTATTGCTTGGCGAAAGAATCCATTCCCCTCAGTTACTGCTTGCAGCTATCTTTATTTCTGTCCAGCTTGTTGAGCTGACCACATTGACAACAGCAGTTAGATGCTGTCATTCTGAATTTTTTTTTTAGTCACAGTGACAGATGTACTGCCAAATAAAATGTTTTGGTGTTCCTTTAGCTCAAGTCTGCATTTCACATTATTATACATTTCTTATTTTTTCTCTTGGTGTGGCTCCATTCTCTCTGAAATAGCATTGCAAATGTGAGGTGTGTCTGCTTATAAATACAAGTGGCTAATGTGTATTGCGTCATACCCCACATGCCTCTTTTCCCTGTGTTCCGTGTGGTGTGCCAAGAGCCACACCTGTTCCTCGTTTAACCCTGCCTCTCGTCTCAGCCCTCGTGTGGATGATCCCCAGGTGCCTCTAGTCTACTCCTTCATCTGAGGTGTATATAGTGCCTCCTCATCCTGAGCTTCCCAGTCTGGTCATTGTACTGCTACGTGCGTGATACTGTGGCCAGCCTGCGCTACCCCTCTGGTTATCCTACACCAGGCCGGTGTGTATGCAGGTTTTTGGGATAACCTGTAGGTCAGCTGTTCAAACCCAGGTGTGAGGACTCTTCAGCCAATCAGTCCTCTAATTAGGGAGTTGCAGCGAAAACCTGCATACACACCGGCCCTTTGCGGATAAGATTGGCCACCCCTGCCCGACACCCTACCCCCTACCCCCTGTGTTTCTCCCCTGTTCTCCCAGCCTTGTTTTGACCCATCATGGTCTGTTCCTTTTGTCTTTTGTATTGTGTTTTTGTGAGAATAAAACCCTTTTATTTTTCCCTGACACCTGCATTTGCCTCCATCCTTCCTGAGCCATGACAGACTGCCAGTGTAGGGTAATTAGTGAGTGAAATTGGGCAGTCTATTAAGTGCACAAATGTGAGAATATTTCTACAATACATGGGATTTATAACCTGTATGACAGTTTATGTAAACTTTTATAAATCTGACATTTACTTGTATGAACATTGTAGTTTTAAAGTAATGTTTTCTAACTTGCAAGAAGATACATTTTCTATAAATGTTTCCCCAGTTCGCTATCCAACAGAAGCAGTTAGAAATTGGAAACTTGACTAAATTGTGAAGAGTAATGTATTAAATCACTTAAAACAATTAATAAAAAAAAACATATTAAGATTGGTCTCCAGAGTAAGACCACAGGGCCTGGAAATTAAGAAAAAAACCAAGTTTGCACACTCACCATAACTGAGGTGTGACTTCAGGAATTCGCAACGGAGTCCTTCATAATTGCGAGAGCATTGACATTTTCCATTTATTAGCGTTCCATTATTCAAACAGAAAGGTGGTAATGGAGTTGTGGTGGATGTAATTGTTGTGGTCCTTGGGGTAGTGCTACCAGTTAATGATGTTGCAGTAGACGATGTGATGATGGTTTTCGGAACATCGGAGTTTGTTGTCATCCAAGACGTTGTGAACCTTGTGCCCTCAGTTGTTTTGAGTATTTCGGAACTTGTCATGGAGGACATAATTGGAGCAGTGGATGCTGTGACTTGTGAGGTGGTCTCAGGTAATGCTGTCGAACCTGTAATGTCGGGACTCTGAGTCAGTGTAAATAGAACAGTGGTCAATGGTGTCTCAGATGTGAGGGTTACTTCTGAAATGGTAATTGTCGCATCCTCTGCTGTGCTTGCTGGTTGAGAAGTTGCATCAGTGGTGAATGCTGAGGAGATACCTGCTGTTTGCCTGTCTGTAGTACTGTGCTCGGCTGTGATGGTAGGATCAGTAGCTCCGGAGGTTGCTG